CGTTGGAGCGGTTTTTACAGAATAAAAGTTTTTTAGCCATCGTTAATATATGCCAATCACGTCGCTGCTCCAACTGCAGACACACTCACCACACATCGACCATGCTGCGGAGTCTGGTGCAGCGCTCGTCGCGCGCGTCTACGGGGCTATTGCGGCCCGTGCGCTGCTTCTCGTCTGTAGTAAATGAAACAGAGACCCGGAGTTTCCTAGAGGATCATCCACGTCTGCGCATCGCGCTCGTGGGTCGAACTAACGTGGGTAAGAGCACGCTCTTTAACCGGCTGACCAAGACCAGGTCGGCTATTGTGCACAATGTGCCTGGTACTACGCGTGATCGGCGCTACAAGCGTGCTACGGTAGCAGGACTAGAATTAGATGTGGTGGACACCGGAGGACTGGAAGACACGCCCTCTGGGACCCTGGAGGAAGGAATGCTCGAGCAGACCAGACTCGCCGTGCACGAGGCGGACCTCGTCTTCTTCCTGGTGGACGGACGCCAAGGCATTACGCCGGTAGATAAACATTTCGCTAGATGGCTGCGCAAAGAGAACCCTCGGGCGCCAATCCATTTGGTGGCTAACAAACTGGAAGGAGACCCGGAACGCTGGGAGGACGAGCTCAATGACTGCTACCAGTTGGGCATGGGAGGAGCCATCCCGTTGTCAGCGGAGCACGGAGAAGGCATCACGCTGCTGTTGGACGAGATCATTCCGGTGTATGAGAAGTTTGAAAAGGACAAGCAGGATAAGGAGGCGAAGCTGAAGGAACAGGAGGGAGAACAAGACGAGGACGACGTACGTGTCCTGCTCCTGTTGAAAAAGAGATGAAAATGCTGACAGAGTTGTTTGTTACCGTGCAGCCGCGTACGATCAAGCTTGCAATTGTGGGACGTCCCAATGTCGGCAAGTCCACGCTGCTCAACAAGATTGTCCGCAACGACCGCGTGCTAACGGGCCCCGAGTACGTTTTAATGAATACTCAACGCTTGTAAAAAAGCTAATGTAGATATGCTTATTGTCAATGCTAGGCCAGGTGTGACGCGCGATTCCGTGGAGGTGCCGTGGACATTCCACGGTCGTCCCATTAAGCTCGTGGATACTGCAGGTATCCGACGCTACAGCAAGCGTGACCATAACGACCAGATCGAGAACTTGTCGGTGCGCGATTCCTTCCGTGCAATTGACTCGGCTCAAGTCGTGGTGGTGGTCGTGGATATGAGTGAGCCGAAGCTCATCCACATGGATCTGACCATCGCTCAGCGTGTGATCGAAGAGGGTCGTGCACTGGTGCTTGCGGCCAACAAGAGCGACCTGGCCGGTGCCAGCGTTGACTTCGAGATGCAGAGAATTCAGAACGAACTGCATGACTCGCTTGCCCAAGTGCGTGGTGTTCCTGTTGTACCCATCTCTGCACTCACAGGCAATGGGATCAAGAAACTCGTACCGGAAGTGCTGAAGGCGTATGAGAAATGGGACCTTCGTGTCACTACCGGCCGTCTGAACCGATGGCTGAAGGCTATGGCTCGACACCACCCGCCTCCGACGGTCAAGGGCAAGACGCTGAACGTCAAGTACGCGACACAGGTCAAGTCTCGTCCGCCTACATTCGCTGTGTTCGTAAGCAACCCGTCCGAGGTGCCCGAGTCGTATCAGAGGTTTTTGCTGAGCCAGCTTCGCGAGGAATTCGACATGGTGGGCGTGCCAGCTCGTCTGCTGCTACGTGGCAACAAGGAGAATCCATTCGAGAAGCGCAAGAAGTTCCAGCAGCGCACCAGTAGCGTGCTGTACGGCAAGCAGCGTCAGACGCAGAAAGCTACCGACGCATCAACTGCTGATGCGAAGAAAGACAAGAAGCCAGGCTTGACCAGGAAGCAGAAGACTGGACACTTTACTCCTCGCCGCTTCAAGGGAAAGAAGAAGTAAGCACCGACAGATAGATAGAGCTACCCATACACAGTATACATTGCATCGAGCACATGTATTTCAGAATGGCTCACAGCACTTACACTACTTCTCTATCACTACAAGTGCCATGTGGATCCCACGCTGTATTAAATGTGGCCGGGGAAGCACTGCTCCAGAGTAAAGCCCTTGGATTCGTGCTTGCTCTGGTAGTGGTCGTTCAACTGCGTTTTCTGTAGGTCAAAGACACGAATAGGTCAACATACATGTACGCTACAGTTGCTGGTCGAGGTGTACGTACGCTGGCAGTGATGAGGAACGTGGTCATGCAGATTTTGCACTTGAGCCCAGTGCGGTCCGCCTCCATCTTGGCCTTGGACTCGGCGTGGTTCTTGTTCTTCGCCTCCTTCATCTTCTTGGCATTGTTGCGCTCGCGCTTGGCCGCCGATTTCTGTCCATTGCCGCCGCCCATAATGATACTGTAGCTAAGAGTCTTGGGTCCTACGAGGCAACTTGGAGAATGATACAGGGACTGGCTGGGGGCGTCGTAACAGCGGGAAACGACCACGCACGTGTGGAAAACAACTGCATAAACATGCTCGTTGTGTTTGAGTAGGCAATCGGCATCGATCGAGCCTCTTGGTCGTAACTCATTCGAGCATTGGAAGTCTCTACAAGAACAAGTTGAAGCAAAAAACGATGTTCATTCTTTCATTATTGGTAAGACGGGTTGCAGCGCACAACGGAGCAGATCCATCTATCGTCTCCTGCTCCTTGTACTGCACTGCAAAACACTGCGCTGATAGATCTCGCTACAGAGGATCTAGCAGCGACTGGCGTCCGTCGCTTTGCTTGATAATGTATGTAAAGATGAAGGAGGTCACCCACAGCCGTCAGCGAGCCTCGTTAAACCTTGCCGGGGAAGCATTGCTCGATAGTGAAGCCCTTGGACGAGTGTTTGCTCTCGAAGTGGTCGTTCAGCTGCGACCTCTGTTCGTCAAGTATCACGTAACACAGATCAAAAGGGTAAGTATCTGTAACAAGGGTCTGATGGCGCTAACGGGAACGTACGCTGGCCGTAATGAGAAACGTCGTCATGCAGATCTTGCACTTAATGCCGTTCTTGTCGGCCTCCATCTTGGCCTTGGACTCAGCGTGGTTCTTCTGCTTGGCCTCCTTCATCTTCTTAGCATTGTTGCGCTCACGCTTGGTCGCAGACTTCTGTCCGTTGCCGCCGCCCATGCTGCTAGACTGTCGAGAAAAGTGCTGATGGTCGAGAGAGGCTAAAATGGAATTTGTCTGGATGGTTGGTGATGTTCAGGGTAGAATACATCACTTGGATAAAGTATTGCGCAGAATTAGAGTGCACCCAAATATTGATGCAATCATTACAGTACATCTACTTTGTGTCCATTTTGTGACGGACCAGTTTTTGAGTACCGTTGAAAAGGCGTAAGACGAGATGGTTACACCGTATTGTCCAAGGTTATGCCGTTGATGCTGTGCTCCTGTTCCTGTGGGCTTCACAGCGACGAGCGAAGACTTCATACAATTACCGCACAACCCAGTGAAGCCCGTGACACTGCTGCAAAATCTGTGTACACCCAGGACGATGTTGAAGACGAGGAGGAGGGGGTTACATTGAGCTCTCGCTCTAGTGGCGAGAATTACGAAAATGATGTTGCAATTGAGCAAGAGGAGGCAGAGGCAGCCATCACAACGCTGCAGCTGCAAGTTCGTGCACTTCGCAAGTATAAGAGCAACTATGAACTGCTGTGCGGCCAGCTGAGCGAGCTGAACACTCAGATCGGCCTCCAGCTGCAACGCCACGAGGCAGATGTAGCCGCTTTACAAGCTTCAATTGCCGATCTTCAGACCGAGAAAATCGCTCTGGAAGCCCAAGTATTGGAGTCACAACAGGCTCTAGCAGTGCAGCGAGACGCAGTCAAACAAGACCGAGAATACTCAGATAACGTCCATCGACAGCTCAGCACGGCAGCGGAACTGCTTAAAGCTACGGAAAAGCGGTTAGAGCAGCAGGAAGAACATTTCACAGCTGAAATGGAGCGGTTAAGAACACAACTTGCTAACAAGGATAACGAGCGAACCAAATTTCAAGGTAGAGCTAAAGAACTGGAGGAGGAACTCGAAACACTGCAAGAACGGGAGAATGCAGCCAAAGAGCAAGAGGTTATGCGGCGGCGACGTGAGAAGGGTAAGCTCAAGAAAGCATTAATGGCACATAAAGCAAAACTCCGATCGCTAAGTGATGAGCTCGAGGCACAGCGTTCAGCTCTCCGTGCGGCCAAGAAACAACTCGGACACGTGCAGGCAGACAACGATGCCCTGCGCAAGCAACTGACCAACGTGAAGCGTGACGGAGCTCATTTGTCCGATATCATCGACAGCCAACGTGTTGAGCACGAATCCTACACCGATGAACTCATGCAGACCAAGAAGGCGAAAAAGCAGCTAGCAAAACGCGTGCGAGCACTCTCTCAAGACAGAGAGCAACTTCAGAATGAGCTGGCAGATGCCAAAGAAGAACTCGTGCACAAGAACAGCGAGCTCGAGAGTTTTCGGGATGAGATAAAGACTTTACGTGTTAAGCTACAGAAAACATCGCAAGCGCTTAATGAGGTTGAAAGCAGCAACGAAAAACTGGTGAAACAGATCGAAAAGCTGCAGAAAATGGAGACTGAGCGGTGCGCCAAAGCCAAGACGGAGGAGCAAGCTCATCTAGCAAGTCGAGACCACAAATACCGCAATGAGTTAATACGTATGCGTGAGCTTCTTGTAGACAACCAACAGCGTTCTACCGAATCGTCTAAAGATGTCCAGAAGCTGCGTCGAGAACTACTGAGTGTTCAAAAGCTGCTGCATGGCTGCAACCAAGAGCGACATGCAGTAGATCAATGGGCCGAAGTATTGCGAAACAGCTTCAAAGCCGAAGAGGTTCCAAAGAGCACCATCCTGGAAAAACTACGAGCCTTAAAAACTTCAAGTAACGGTGGCTAGTGTCTTAAACATTTAAAGCTATTCTTCACTTCTCTTTCGATCTGCTTTTCTTCCTGCTAACTGAGGCAGGAGGTTTTGTTAGAGCTTCGTAGCGGGTCTTCAGCTTGTCAAACTCCTGTCGTAGGAAGTCGTTCTCTTCTTGAAGCTCCCGTAGTTGTTGGCTCATCGCATTCACATCCGTACCGGTAGTGCTGGATTGAGCCGTAGATTGTCGATGCTGCTCGAGTTCAGCGATGCGCTCGTCCTTTTCCCGCACGGTCTCTCGAAATGTTTTGCAAAGTGTCTCCATTTCGTGTTTGAGTTGTTGCTGTTGTTGCTCCATTATAACTGCAGATGGAGGAGGGGGGCCCCCGCTTGGCAATGGGATTCTACTAGGCCGCCGCTGCAAATTCGAACACTTTAAGTTTATCAAACATTATCAAGTGGCAAGTAAAAAAAACGCTGATATGAACTCACCGGAAGACGCGAAACGCTTTCATCTCCGATAGGTGGCAACGACGGAGATGGCGGCGTAGCTTGCAGTAGATCAGAGCTGCTGTGCGATTCCTGCAGGCTTCGTAGCTGTTTATCCTTATCTTCGACTTGCGCTTTCAAGCTGCGAACTACCTCAGTCAGGCGCTCCTTTTCCACCTAATTTTGCATAACAAGTAAGCGAATAAAGGACAGATCTAAACACCTTGAAAAAACTCACGGCTATTGCGCGGTACTGTGAAATCTCGCTTGGCTGTGGCATTGCACCAGTTGATCTGTCACCGCCTCTGCTTTTGTGTTCAGCGACGATTTTGCGGAGTCTTTCCAGCTCAACCCGCTCGTCTTGGCTGGTACATTTGGAGCTGTCTGCAGTCCGAGCGCGTCTCGCATCATGCAACTTCGTCTTCCACGTCTCCAGTTGGCGTTGAAGAGCGTCAACAAGGGCGTCGTCGGTGCGTGATTTATCCACCAATACCTGGAACTTGTCACGTGTTTCATGCTTTTCTCGATCAAGAATCTGTGCGCGTGCCTTGAGTGCGTCGTAGTTTCGAGTTAAACGGTGGAGACGCTCCTGTAGTTCATCACGTTGAGTTGTGAGCTGGTCCAACAGTTTCTGTCGGTGCATTTGCTGACCGGACAGATCTTGCTGTGCACGTTGATCAACATCCAGTACGTTTCCTAAATCATGTGGATCCGGTGAAGTGGTTCCAGGTCTCATGGTAGCGAGTCGAGTCTGCAGCTTTTTCACTTTAGTTTTGAGCATGATAATCTGCTGGGCGCGGCCACGTCGACTTGCTCCGCTAGCGGCGTTGTCTGTATTTCCAACAATTTCTTCAAGTGGCACGTCTTCTCCAACCTCTCGCACCAATGCACGTTGAGTTTTTTTGAGTTCCTGTTGCAACGCAGTGTTTTTCGACTTTAGTTCGTCAACGAGTTTCTTCAACGATCCACCGTCACTGTTGGTATCACTGGACGGGGACTCGGGTAGCTGAGGTTGGTTAACTGCACCATTGTTATTGGCCTTTTCTGCGGCAACTCGAGCCTGGAAACGCTGCAACTTCAGCTTAAGTGTGTCAACCTCTTCCTCAAGCTGTTTATTGGCTGCTTGAAGTGCTTGGGACTGCTTGGTTGCATCCATTGCTAGTTGTTTTTCACGCTGTAACTGACGCTTTAAAGACCGCAGAGTCTTAGCCTGATGGACGATCTTCACGTCTCGAACATCCTGAAGATAAACGCAACAACTTTAAAAAAAAAAAGCATGAGAATTATAGATACAAACCAGACTTACATGATCAAGGTTGTCTTTCTCAAGCAGAATGTCTTGAACTGCGTCGACGTCTAGTCCTGGCACTGGTGCTTGTGCCTCTAGCTGGATCTGCAGGCTGTTTATTGGTATTAAAGAAAAATCTTTGATCGAAGTATTATTGGGGTTGCCGTGAGAATCTTACGCTTTCACTTGTTGCCGAAGGTCACGTATTTCCGAAGTCAACGTCGTGTCGGCATTTGTTAGTTCCTGGATCTCTTGCACACGGTCCCACTGAATTTCGCCCTGGAAAAGTTTCTGCTGTTCTCCAGTGTTCTCGTCATGATTGTCCTCGTCATTGTTGTTGCTGCTTCCACTCGTGTACTGCTTCTTGCTTAGCGAGCTCTGAAATAAAGATTCAATCGCTGGCTCGTCGTCAGAGCTACTGCTGTCGTCGTCATCATCGAATTGAGGAACAACCAGTGGTGCCTAGCACCATAATCACCATTCAACTTAAATAAAAGTCCTGAAATGCCGCTCAACGCGCTCTACCAACCTGTTGAGGTGGCATCCCTTGTCGTCTCAGGGTGACGTCAATCAACTTTTTGCCATCGGGACGCACTTGGGTGCTCTCCACTTCCATCGCAGCCTTTGGTTTTCCCAGACGTCTCCAAATACGCCACGCAACCGCCGAATTTGCTGTTTTTTTCGAGTGAAAATGAAAAAAGCAACAAATTCCAAAGCACAAAATGGCAACTTTGCAGGTTTTCATTTCGCAAACAGTAAATAGTCAACACAATTGCACAACATATTTACAACAAAAACCGACGACTTGGAAACAAAATCCTCGAAATCCACCATTCATCCGCGCTATCGTGTCTGTTTCCGTTGCTGTTCCTTCGCCTCAATGGTAAAATTTGCCAGTCCTTCGATAATTTCACTGGTTTTACGGTTCAGGACTGGTTCTTTACGCGATACAGGAGCCACTGCGGCCGATGTGGCGCGCGCCGTTCGCCCAGGTACTGCGTTCAATGCAGAAATGGTGGCAGTTTCTCGACGTACACGTGCCACGCGATCAGTGACTTGTCGAAGACCGGAGATCAGATCCTTCTGCTTGAAAAACAGTCGCAGACTTCGCATGCGGCTTGCATCCACCGTCATTTCGCCGAATCCGCGCACCTCCACCTTGGAGCCATCGCCCTTTACGCCTCTGTACTTGCCTGTGAACGGACCCCAATGACGCCATGAGAAGTAGCATTGAGGTGGCTGGGTAAAGACATCTAACACCTCCATTGGGAAGCCGTCCGGGAAGGCTTCGGCCAGTTCAGCTCGAGGGTCTTGGCTTTCGTCACTGTCTCCGTGAGTCGCGTCAGCATCACCGAGATACAGCAGTCCTAGCATGTCGTTCTCGAGGATTGACGAGCCAAGCACCTGAATCCCGTCGTTCACTTGCAAGTAAAAGCTCTCCTGAACCACACTGCGCCACTGATCGTAGCGAGCTTTATGCTTGGCCTCCATAATGAAAGTCTGGCAGCATTCCTCCACGTACGAAGCGAGCGGTGTCGTGTCTGGTTCACGCATCCGACCCCTCACGTACGCCAAATCCGTGAGCACATACTCTGGAATACCATAACGCCATTCGATGGCTTCACCATTTCTAGGGCTCTGCATCACACGCGATGGCAGCTTAGCACCTTTTGCAACAAGTGCGTCCAGTTCTTGTTGGGCCTTTGCCATCCTGGATGCCGACGCTGTAAGTGAAGACCCGGCTACAGGCACAAAGAGAAGCACATTGCCGTTGCTGCTCTGCGATTGCCCCGATGTCGTTGACGAGCTCGATGTTACCGAGTCCATCCGATGCAGTCGTGAAGGATGTGAGGCGGGATGATCCACCTGTTCTGACGTCGATGTCGGAGAGTTTCCTGCTTGGGAAGAAGGTGTCGAGACGGCTGTGGCCTCATCGTCTTCAGTACGCGGTTTGCTTTGAAGTTTGCCACCTGCATATACGCGTGGCATCTTTGCATTCGACGTCGACGTAGGCCTCGTTGTCACTGGCTCACTGTCTTCGCTAGTTTCATCGATAACCAGTACAACTTCGCCTGTCACGTTCTCAACGTCCGTATCGCTGTGATCACTACTCGATTTCTCTAAAACAGGGATAGAGTCCGCTCCACGAAGAGCATCGTGCTCGCCCAAAGACAGCAACATCCTCTTATCCATCGCAGACCCTAATTTGCTGGTGGGTCTGCTGCCTTCTCGCTTGGTAACCTGCACCTCTTGCAGCGCTTCGAGCCACTGCGTCGCCTTGTCACTGCTCTCGGCTGCAAGGCGTAGTGTAATGCACTTAGAAGCTGACCCGATCATGACCGTGAACACCTTGTCTGACTGATTACTTCCTCCTTCCTCGGACAATCCATCAGCACGCAACACGGTGCCCACCAGCACTGGACTCAGTCCACTGGCCTTAGCGACAGCATCTCCACCGTGGGGATCCAACGGATGTCCGGACGCCAACCACAGACTGAACGACGTCTCGTCTTTACAAGAATACAGCTCCGGTCGACAACGCGCTACGAAATAATAGCGTTTGTCCGTCACCTTGAGCAGACCGCGCTTGATCATCAAGTAGCCGCTGTGGCGTACATCCACCGCCACTTCTGGCTTCTGCGTACTGACGGAGAGGAAACTGGCATTGGAGCTGATAGATCCGCCATGTCTGGACCGAGTACGGCGTCCCATGCTGCTGTTGCTGTTTTGACTGTGGCTACTGGACGAAGAAGTCGACATGCAGATGACTTGGTCGTCAGTGAGACCGCTATTGGACCGCAACGCCGCGGCTGCCGCTGCCTTGTTCGCTCGGGAGTTGGAATGTGCTCTAGCCAGCCTCTGTTGCTGCTGTGGACTGTCGACTTGAGTCATATTGGGCGCAGACGCTGTTCGACCTTGTGGCTTCACCTTGCGCTGCTCCAAAGGCGGCGAATTGACGAATGAAGGCGGTACGACGTCTGCATTATCAGAAGGATGGGCGGGCGCCGCGGCTAGAGCCGCCAACGCATTGCAACTGCCAGTTTTGCTGTTGATTCCGCGATTCTTGCGCCAGTTGTCGTCACGGCGACGCTCAGCAGTCGTCGGTTGGTCACTTGGCGCTCTTGCGTGTCTGGTGTCGTCCTTGACGGCCTCTTCGAAGCGGAAGCTGCGCTCCGTCTCGTCGACGAGGTCGTCGTCTCTCCTGCTGGCGCGGCGGCCACGCAGTCGATGTGCCAGCGCCTTCATGTTGCGAGCAGGAGTGAAGGTCGCTCGATTTGCGTGCGGGCAAATGTGCAGTGGCTTGTTGCCCTCTGCGGAATGCGGTTTGTCGACTTGTAAACTGACAAGGGATGCGCAACATCTGGAAAGGTCCTACCCTTCATTGCAATGTGGCAATTTTTCCATGTAAAGTTGACTTGACACATGTACATGGCAAAAAGGTCGTCTTCTTTCGCGCCCACACGTTCGCAGCATTGCGTTCTTGTCCACACAACGCGGAGCCCATGTTTTCCAGGGGCACCTAGATGCGTTTCTCTCTCTCTCTCTCTATCCGCGTTTTTGCTGTCCAGTGGGAGTAACCTTCATTGGTAGTACGACGACTGGCCTGAGCACCGGAGCTCCACGACTTCAAGATACCGAAACCGGCCAGGCGTCATTTAAGAATGCCAGGCAGAACGTTGTTGTACCGGGAGGTTCCATCGAGTCTCTATTAGTGTTGGGTCTAAGGTCCTTGGGTTGGTGTCGCTCCGAAAGCAGAGAGCCGATCGCTGCGCCTCGGAAGCTCCGCACGACTGTATCCGAGCTCTTCAGAAATGGGGCGAACGAATGTATGACCAAGCTCGACGGCACAAATTGGGGCAAATCCGTAGTGTTCGAGATAACAGCGAGTTGCGTGACTTGCTCGTTTCGGGGGTGAAGACAGTTCTAAGACGTCTTTGTCACTTATCACCTGTACTTCCAAGCCCTTTGTAAATGAAGACGCGGGTGATCCTCGCGCGATCTCTTACTTGCTACATTATTATTTTTTTAACACAGCATTCACTTTTGCTATGTTTGTTCCAGCTCAAATGAAATCATGCTGAATCTTAGATTACCATCCTCTGTGAACGAATCAATACGGACGCCAAGTTTCCTTGAGTTCGCGGTGTCAAGTTGAACATTGCAGCTCACGGCGCCACCTTCGCTCAAGTCACAACAACGCCACATTCGACAAGCGCGCATCGAAACTGTGTGCCAGAGCCAGCTATCGCATGGTGTATTCTTGTCAATACAGCAAAAAAAAATTAGCATCACACATGCTTGGATAGATCACTACGCCGCAGCCTTCTGCGCAAGTGCAGGTTTCGCCGGCTGTCGCATCATCAGCAAGATAAGCGCCAGCAGTTTTTCGTACGTGACAAGAGAGATCGCCGCGGTCAGCACCGTTTGCAGCAGCTTGGCCTGAAGTCCAGCAAAGTAACCGGCCAATCCTCTGTCGGCGTAGATCTGGGCGAGGCAGTCTGTCAACCCCTCGACTTCTGCTTCTACCGACTTTGAGGTTTTCTGCTTCACGCGCATACGTGACTGCGCAACTTGCAGCGGGTACGTCACAACAGTCGTGAACGACTTGGCCAACGCACCAAGCACGAAGATGTCGAATGCGGAGAGCGCGGCTCCAGCGGGGCCTGTGGCGTGACGTTTCTTCTGAAGCGCGATCTTCATGCGCTCATAACTGACATAGTGAATGACTGGGTTGGACACCAGCACCAGCGATGCCAGCGTGCCGTTCCAAAGCGAGAAACAGCCTTCGTTTGCGGTGACTTTGCGCACACAATCTAAATCATAGGCAACACGTCAGCTCGAGCAGCTAGCAAGGAATATGTGAAGAGGAGATTCATGCCGCGTACCAAGTACGCCTGAGTATTTTGCGGCATCTCTCGACTTGAGACGCATGTTGGCAACCCATAGCGGCGCACAAATGTACACGTTGATAACACCGGCAAGGCACGAAAGCACAAGGTTCTGCACAGGCGTAATGTTGCCGCTCATCTGTCGATTCTGCTGTTGCAGTCGCTTCAGCAATTGCGTCTTTAAGCCATTGTAGCTGCATCAACAGGGTGATCTACCCGTCAGCTTATTAATTAACCACCGTCCGGCACAGTCGACTTACCAGAAAAAGTAGACGAAGTTCGACCCTCCGAGAGCGACCTGCGTTGACACGTGACCCTGATAAACCTTCCACTTCTTCTCCTTGAGGATTTCCACAACTTGCGTCCAGAAGTTCCTCGATGCGCGCTTTGTCGGGGCTTTAGACTTGGTCACGTCTGTTTCGTCGCTCTGCTGCTCAACCTTATCTTCTTCAGGCTCCCTGGCCTCCACTGCAAGTGATAGCAACACAACGTATACCCATGTCAGCGGTCTATCTCACTCGTCAATATCAATTGCACGGCACCAACCTTGCATGATGGTCTTGATCTGGTCCAGCGGATATAGCAGCGCCATGGCAAGCATGCCACCCTGCAACAGCAGCATAATGTCAGCTGCGCCATCACCACGAGCATTCAAGACAAGTAGCACGCACTGCGCTGCCTGCGATGCCGTGCGCGAGCGTCTCCATCATGTCGGTGTCGAATGGGGATTGTGAAGTGGTGCCGCCAAGCTTCAAGCTCGATTTTGACGTATGCACAGACGCTGCCAATAGACGGACACTGGCAGCAGGTCGATGCTACCAGTGCAAGTAGTGGATCCTTCTTAGGTGCGAGTCATCAGGGGCATCAAACTCGACGCGTTGCAGTAACGTGTTGCAGTGCGACGTGCGACCACGCAGAAGCGGTGGAGATCAGCTTCTCATCGACCGACGGCCTGTCAGACCAGCTCGAAGTGATCCCGTCCGAGTCGGACTCCGATGGGGTCACTTCGAGCTGGTCTGATGGCCCACCAGTGGTCGGACCGACGTGCTAGCACCTCGAGTGGCAACTTACACTAACCAGAGGGCTGCAGACTGAAGCTGCCACGCTTGCCAGTCGATAGTCGGTCTCCATGGGAAGCGCACGTGCTAAACCTCGGTAATGTAAGGTCGCATTCTCGCTATTGCGACGCCTGTGTCGACGGGATGGCGTACTTGATTGATTCCATTGCAACTCGGTGTTACAGCATGGGGCAACCGCGGCAGGACCAGTACACGATAGTATTGTCCAGGTCAAGTCGCCCGACTCGGGCAACTTGAGTTAAGCTTACATGTACTACGTAGTTGGTCAGCCCTCGACCGAGATTTGCAACTCAGATGTACCAATCTTGCACACCAATGCCTCCCGCTCCAAACTTTATAAGAACTGTTGCAATTTCCTAAGGGCTTAATTCCTCCAAATCATGCAGTCTCCCTAAATAAATGCTCCTGGTTTACATCATTACATGTCTTTCGATAGGATGTAGAATCCCTGTCATCTTCGTCAGGCGGGACTCGTGCAGAAGTGCGGCGTTCCTGCCGGTCAGTCTCCATTCACCTCTCTGACGCAGACACCTGTACCAAGCTCCACCGAACATGCTGGGCCGCGTGCTGAAGGAGGTGAAGCTGCCGTTCCCGGACGACTTTTTCCCAGAGATGGCGGTCTCGGGGCAGCTCGCGGACGACTTCCACCACACCGCGACACGACTTCTGAACCAGACACTGGACGCTGAGTCACCCGTCACACGATTCCACCCAAGCCAGCAACCAGACGAGTGGAAACTCATCGGAGATCGCTACGGCTTGCAGCTCTATCGAGAGCGCGGTTTTGCCAAGGGCAATGCAGTCAAGGTGAACGTGCTGGGTCAGATGACTGGCACACTGGAAGACGTGCTGCTAGGTCTCTATGCCACGACCAACGGAGCGCTCAAGACGCAACGCTCCATTATGCACAATGACTATCTCGATGCAGCCGTGTTGCATGTGCTGGACGAGGACCCGTACAGTGAGGATGACACGGGCTTCTCATACCAGTTTGCCGGTCTCAAGTGGCTCGCATGCGCTCCGACGGGCAAGTTGGTGCACAAGCGAGATCTGTGCTGGCACGAGGAGCTTGGACGCACACAAGATGCCAATGGGGACGAAGTGGGCTATCTAGTGATGCATTCTGTGCGGGTGGACGAGTGTCCTCCTTTTGAGCAGCAAGGGCTGACACGGTCGACGGCCGCGGTGTGTTACATCTTTCGTCCGCTCCCGAACAACCGCGTGGCGGTGTACATGAAGGGACAACATGCAGTTGGTGGCAAGTCCAGAAGCTGGAGTGCAGACTCAATCATGGCTGAGTTGTGGCTGGGCGTTGCGAGCGCGCTGGAATGTGCCAAGGCCAAACGACTGTCGAAACTCGTGAGTGACATGGCGATGTTCATCACCAGTGCACAGTACGTTTACTGTTATCATTTCCTTTGGATGTTTGAGCTAGATGCTTACCCTGTTGTGGTTATAGGAGCAAAACGTGCGATATCTGCGACTCGAAGCTCAAGATGCTTAAAACCAACCAGCACTGCAAGATTTGCGGCAAGAACGTGTGCGATCGCTGCCGAATGACCAAGATGATCTATCCGTCTCAGAACACTGGCAACTTCCCGTGTAGTTACTTCTTCTGCAAACCGTGCTTGAGTGATGCAAAGGAAAAACTTTACGGACGTTCCGCAACGCGGATAAGCTTCCACTCGGAGGATTCATCAGGGCGATCTGGATCAAACAGGTCAGGGTCACCACGCTACGCTCGTGCTCCATCAACCGGACGGCCAGGACTATCTATAATGTCATCATCATCTGGCCCCACTCCGGGACGCCAACGAGTGCTATCACATGACCAAGCAGGAGCAGCAGCCTACAATGGACGTAGACTTCATCAGTTAAATCCACGTACCACCTCTACCAGCTATTCTAGTGCTCGTGTTACTACGTCACCGAATCCGCCGATGTCAAGTAACAGAGGCTTCAACCACATCAACGACAATCTCAGCAGTGCCACTGGTGTTCAAACGATGCGAGTATACCAGCCACCGGGCGGTCCATCAATTCGTTCAGTGGAGAATCGCACAGCTACAAGTCGGCCGAGAATTCAACGCACAACAAGTGATTCATTGCGCTGCAATGTAGCGTCAAGAACCTACAGTAATAGCCGTATGCCAGCTCAACGCACTACGGTTCAGATGACTCACAGTGGCAGATACGTAGGGAACCAGTCGATTGACAGTACTTACGATGTCGAAGGAAACGAGACTTATCGCGGCCGCGGTTATATTAGCGATGATAGTGATTTGAGCGAGGAGTCCACGGATGAAGAGGAAGTGCACGGCTATAGCAGTCGGCGACAGCTCATCAACGTGTATGACGCCGATGAAAGCAGCGTGATCGAGATGAGTCGTCCTTCAATATCTGGTAGCGATTCGTCGAGTGAGCCCGAACCTGTGGATGTGTTCGAGAAGGACAAGCTCAAGTACATCAACTCCTTTCGCACCAACGACGCAGGAACGTCCAGCTCAGTCGGCGGTACAACAGTTTCTTCAAATGGCTCAACCGAGCAGGAGAACCTCATGGAGAGACTTATGCAGATCAACATGGCGGCAGAAGCAACGTACCTGATGACCAAGTACAATTCCACCATCCAAGCGAACAATTCTAGATAGGCACACAGATTTCGAGAGATATTATCTCAAACTTGTTTCTTTGTCCACTCAGTTTAGTCCGCAGTTTTCTTGCCTAGGCGCCTCAAATGTGCCATTTGACGGCGATACTCCATGATCGGAACCGCTGGACTTCCACCTACAGCCACGAGACAGTCAGGATCAGACTCCTTTACCCTAATATGTAGTAGTTTAAAAACACATACCGTAGGTGGCATTCGACTCAAGGTTGTTCATGACGCCGCTCTTTGCAGCAATGCGAACGTTGTCACCGATCTTCAAATGCTGTGCCACTCCCACCTGTCCGCCAATGTACACATTATTGCCCAGCGTTGTACTGCCCGCGATGCCTGTCTGCGCTGCGATGACGCAGCCCGTTCCGAGCTGCACGTTGTGGCCAATTTGGATCTGATCGCATGCACACAGGACATCGTCAGACGTCCGAGTGTCAAGAAGGAAGACTCAAGAGTTTCTCCTGACCAGGTTGTCGAGTTTGCAGCCGTTGCCAACCACCGTGTTGCGCCAACTCCCACGGTCGATCGTACAGTTTGCACTTCAAGTGGCAACAACAAGAGGCGTTAGGCTCGCTGAGTTGGACGCTTTCGTCGTTAGAAGACGCACCCGATCTCGACGTGGTCGTGGATCTCCACCCGTAGCTCCTGGGGCTTCTTGGTGTGCTCGCCTTTGGCATCCAGCATGAATCCGAAGCCATCCTGGCCAATACGAGCTCCCGGATGGATGACCACTCTGCTACCAATGGTGCAGTTCTGCAGCGTCACATTGGCACCGATAGTAGTGCCGTCTTCAATAACCACGTCCTCCCCGATGGTGCTAAACTCGCCAATGCGGCAGCCTTTACCGATCTAATGAGCGAGTTACGCGAATGCATACAGTGAATAGTGCAAGTCAATTGCAGTTATGACGTATAATTTGTGAGAACCGACGCGGTTGCACGGAAGTCATTGAAACCTTAGCAGAGGGGTGGATGACCGTAGTGGGGAACGTGTCGCTGCCGCTTGAAGACGATTCAGAGAACGCTCGACCAAATTCAGACGCTCTCTTGGGCAGAAGATTGCCTGCATTCCCTCCACAGTGCATAGCGTGCGATACCATGCTGCCACGAGCGCAGCGGCCAGCAACCGGCGCACGCAAAACCCACATCGATCGCCGAGTTGAAAACTTTCTCGGTATACAAAGTATACCTCTTTAGGGTATACGGTATCAATCCCAGATGGCTACACGTTGCAAACTTTCAAGGGCACTTGCAACAAGATCCCACATTCCCAGTGGTGACACTCAATGCTGGGGGGCTGCGTCGCCAGATGAGCTGAGCCGCGTGGAGGTCTTCACGCATCACAATCCAGATCTCAGCCTGCCAGACAAGCAACTCGAATCTCTCGACGATGGCGTCCAAGATGCTCAAGCTCTTCTCCCCCCCACTCACGCTTGGTGGCAAAAAGAACCCGTGCGATTGCAACACCGAGTGATCATGGCGCCGCTCACGATGTTGCGCACGGGTGAGAGTGGAGTACCTACCGACCTTGTGACCGAATACTACGCGCAACGCAACACTCCCGGCGGGCTCTTGATCGCTGAAGCGACCAATATCAGTCCCACGCTTCGGGTCCCCCGGATTGTATACCCGCGAGCAGATCGAGGGCTGGAAGAAGGTCACGCGCACGGTGCACGAGCGGGAGGGGGAGATCTTCGTGCAGCTGTGGCATGCGGGCGCGACGGCCATACTTTGAACCAACCGAACGGGGAGCAGCCAGTTTCATCATCGACGATCGCGCTGGTCGACGTCAATAGTGTTGCTGTGACTCGTGAAGGCAGCCGTACAGTGTGCCTCGTGCACTGGAGACCCACGAGAACCCGGGCATTGTGGCTGACTACAAACGCGCCGCAGAGTACGCCATTGCGGCAGACTTTGGCGGCGTCGAACTGCACGGTGCCAACGGATACTTACTGGAGCAGTTCTTACAGTGTAAACAACCGCACCGACGAGTATGGCGGCAGCATTGGGAACCACGCCAGACTGACACTCGAGGCGGTCGAAGCTGTGCTGTCCAGTTTGGACTCAAAGTGGCAATCCGAATGTCTCCGTACGGCAACACGTTCGGCTGCACAGATTCGACCCCCGAGGAGACGTACAGCTACCTGATCAAGAAACTGAGTCCGTTTGACTTGGCGTAGCTGCACGTTGTGGAGCGTCGTGGTCTGCACCCGAAGGCGGCACTACCAAGTTCAGCCGCGAGCTGTACGATGGCGTGCTCATGACGTCGTCCGGGTACAACCGCTCGGAAGGGATCGAAGTCACGGAGAGCGGATTGGCAGAGTGTGTCACCTACGGTCGCTCGTTCGTTGCCAACCCGGACCTAGTGCACCGTCTTGAGGTCAATGCCCCGTGGAACGAATGGGACTTCAAGACGTTCTACCCGTCACCGGACGCGCCCATGTCTGCAGGCTACACCGACTACCCCGCGCTTGAAGTGAAGGCCTAAGACGTAGTATTCACTTAGATGTTGTTGTCGTGCAAAGCGTAAATGAGCTCTACGAGCTTCCGAGCAGTCTGCTTGACCAATTTGCTAAGCTTACGTGTAGTACACGTTGACGTGAACAAGTTGCAAGCACACCTGCTTGGATGTGCTACAGCTGTGGACTCACTTCTCAAATTGCAGCCTTGAGCGCAAGTGAACTTCATGGCTTCCGCGACGCCCAAACTCTTCACCCCGCTAACACTCGGAGGCAAGAACCCCGTACAGTTACAGCACCGAGTGGTGATGGCGCCGCTCACTAGGCTGAGAACCGGCGAGACCGGCATCCCGACCGACCTCGTGGCTGAATATTACGCGCAACGTAGCACTCCCGGCGGTCTGATCATCGCTGAAGCCACGAACATCAGTCCCACTGCACGCGGGTACTTCGGTGCCCCTGGTTTGTTCACTTCAGAGCAGGTCGAGGGCTGGAAGAAGGTCACGCGTGCAGTTCACGCCAAAGGTGGCAAGATTTTCGTGCAGCTCTGGCACACTGGACGAGTAGGTCACCCGTTGAACCAGCCCAACGGCGTCTTGCCCGTTTCGTCGTCCGCAGTCGGACTCGAGGGTATCAAAACCTCCGCTGTGACCCGAGAGGGAAGACGCAAGTACGTCACCCCGCGCGCTCTGGGGACACACGAGATCGAAGGTGTCATCACTGATTACAAGCGCGCTGCTGAGAATGCTATCGCCGCCGGGTTCGACGGTGTTGAGCTGCACGGCGCCAACGGGTATTTGATCGAGCAATTCCTGTGCGACGGCGTGAACAAGCGCACGGACAAATACGGCGGCAGCATCGAGAACCGTGCTAGGTTGATGTTTGAAGCGCTTGACGCCGTACTGTCCAGCCTGGATTCAACCCAGGTGGCCATCCGGTTGTCCCCGTTCGGCGTCACTTTCGGCTGTACGGACTCGACTCCCGCAGAGACCTACGGCTACGTCCTCAAGAAGCTGAACGAGCTGGATCTGGCGTATGTGCACATCGTGGAGCCGCGAGGTTTCCACTTCAGAGGTCCTCGCGTACCGAGAGACGGCACAACCCCATTCTGCCGGTCGCTGTATCATGGTGTCCTCATGACGTCGTCCGGGTTTGACAGAGCGGAAGGCATCAAGATCACGGAGAACGGCACGGCAGACTGCGTAGCGTATGGCCGGCCGTTTATCTCTAATCCGGACTTCGTGCAGCGTCTGAAGGTCGGTGCGCCATGGAACCCCTGGGACCGCAAGACGTTCTACATGCCAGCGAAAGGGCCGTTATCTCTCGGCTACACGGACTACCCGAGGCTGGAGCAGAAGTCCGCACTGTAAATTGCTACTGTAGTCACCATGCTGCCAATTCAGCTCTCCTGGTGCAACTATAACATCATCATCATTGGTTAACTTCCTTCGAAACTAAATCAGTATCAGCAATCTTACACGTACCGGTACTGTTTGACCTGCATAATTCTATAGTGTTTTTATGTGTCAGAACTTGTAATTTTCAGTTTAACCATGATGAACCTGGTGCCGCCGCAATGGCGCGACCCGATGCAGTGGGGCTTCATGTGCGCCGCGTCGTTCGTGCGGGCCATCAGCTGCTTCATGCGTTACGCGGGCGCCTTCTGCGTGGCTATTGGCATGTCGTTGATCTTCCTGATTGGCGGGTTGTTCATGCACGCCATCATCCCCATTATGGCAGACACAACATTGCAGGTAGAACAAGAAGAAAAGATAGAGTATACGATAAACTAACTTTTTTTACCAGTTGGTATGTCATTTAGCCATTGCCATGGTACTCCTCTTCAACATCTACTTTAACTACGCACTGTGCTGCGCAACAGACCCGGTGCGGCAGCAATGCCTTATCAATGTTAAGCGTTCTACTTACTCTACCTTCGGTGTATGCCAGGGGGTCATTACGGCCAAGTGGAAGGCAGAGGCAGACTTTCACGATGCTGGAGTAGACAACAACGAAGAGGACGAGGACGAGGAAGGCGATCTGGAGCAAGATAGCGATGACAACGAACTGGAGACGGGTCGGCTCCCACGAATTCGACCCAGTGCGGTCACTCCTGACGGGAAGAATGGAGGCGATCGAGTCCAGTTGCTACGCGTGCAGCTTATCGACCCGCAGAGCGTTGCAAGACAACGCGGTGTTGAGGACGGCATGTCGTATTGCCGAAGGTGTCGACACTTTCGACCGCAACGTGCACATCACTGTTCGGTGTGCAATAGATGCATCGCGCACTTGGATCACCACTGTCCGTGGGTGAACAACTGCATTGGACGCGACAATTATCGGGTATGTGGAGTAGCCGCTGTTGATGAAGTGACAGTTCTAACGTGGAGACTGTGATCCAGTACTTCTTTTCATTCCTGGTGTGGCTAGCGGTGGGGTGCTACTACGCAGCCTACATGAGCTATAGGGCAGCCTACACCGATCTCAGTCGCGAACAATACGCTAGAGTGAGTTGGAGGGGTTGGCACTCCTGCAGTGATCAGAACTTAACGTTACGCCTTGATTTTGCGTGCAGATGCTCGTGCTTGCCCAAGTGAGGTCGCTCAACATCTCGGCGTCCAACACTCTGCAGTTCGTGTTTGCGATCTCTGCGTCCGCAGGTCTGGCTGTCTCAATCCTTGCAAGTTGGCACACTTTCCTCATCGCCACAGCACAGGTACGATAATGGATCTATCTTAGCAACCTTCTCGACACTAATGTCTGCGCTTGTTAGACGTCGGTGGAGCTGCAGATCAATCGCCATCCGCGCAATCGGCGTCTTCATGGCGGAAAAGTGGTTAGTCCCTACTCAACCGGTAGCATCCACGGCAATTGGGAGCTTGTGTTCGGCAGATGCAAGTACAAAATACTCTCTCTCATGCCGAGTACACGATTGCTGCCGAATCCTCGAACACTCAGCAAGAAAAAGAGAACTACCGCCAGTGAAGACGCATCCGTCAATGCTGGTGCACCTGATGCCATGGTATAAGCAACAACACGCGATTGAAGATACAGGTTGCCAGTTATCTAATCTATGGCTGGGAGGTGCGAGTGAACGTGTAGATGCAGTACACGTCGCTCATCTCGTTGAAGTGCAAAGCGAACAGTTCAGCCGCGGCGTCATTACCCACCAGCGGGTTCCTCTTGTAATCCTCAGGAACTTCCTCCACCTCACACGTGAAGCCTCGGACCTCCATCGCTTCTTTGAACTCCACCAGCGAGTGTCGCGCCTGGGACGCAACGTGTACAAATCGTCCTTCAGCAGCCAGCATACCGTCCACCACATTCACAAGCACCGGCACAATTTCCTGGTGGTACACGAGATCCGAGCCGAAGAGCACGTCGAACTTGTCGTCGTCACAGCTAGTCGGCCAGGTCTCACGCTGGGCCCAGTCAATAGCCTCGACCTGGATAACCCCGTCCTCACTGGCCTTGCTCTGCTTTAGCGCTTCGGCCTGCTCACGTTGGGCACGGATAGCCTTGCAATCAGCTTTGTGTTTCTTCCAGGCCTTCTTCTGACACTCACGCGAGCAGTAAGCCACAGATCTACAGCCACCGCACGTCATGAGCTTGCCCTCCGGGTTGTCTGGAGTAAAGCGCTGGACGGCACCACATCGACCGCAACAGTCCAGAACGGGAGCTTCCTGCTTCTGTTCTTCAACTCCAGTCTTCTTGTCGGTCTTGTTGAGCTCCACATTGTGCTCCAGATTCTGAATGGTGTGTGCGAACAGATCGGACAGCACAACACGCGCAGCATTCGTGTACTTGTGCACCGCCAGACCACTGACACCGCAGCCCGATCCAAGTTCGCAGACCTGTTTGCCGTCGAAAATATCGCGGTGGTCAATGACCCAGCGACTCAAAATAAGCGCCGCCGACCAGATCGACACGCCCGTGATGTCTTCCTCTGCAGTGGATCCGAACGCGTCCTTGCTCCATTCCAGTGCCAGTTCTCTAGCACGCAATGTCGGCAGGCCCGGGGCGAAGTTGAACTCCAATACAGTCTCCTGTAAGACCTTGGGCGAGCTGCTGTCGGCCTCGTCTCCTTCCTCCTCGATTTCTTCCTTGATCGCGTCCTTGCCCATACCCGTGCCTTCAGCCAGACGCTCTTCTGTCGCCGAGCTGTGCTCTAATAACATCGCCACTAAAGGATAAACACACCGTGTAAGCTTCCATAACTACAGTATTAATCCACAAAACCGCTTACAGATCTCAGTGTCTTCACATTGGAAGGCTTCGGTGACGCAGCCACGGCCGAAACTATTGCGAGCCAGCACGTCCAGGTCTTTAACTCCATCCACGATCAGCTTGACAATCTCTCGGTGTTTGTTCTGCACCGCCCAATCTACAATAAATCACACATTCTATAAGCATTTATCCCAGTCCAATACCAGAATACCGGTTCATCTACGTACGCAGTGGCAGGTTCCCGCTGGCGTTGGGCACATGCTTGGCTCCGTTGCTTAGCAGTTCGCGAACACATTCGACGTGGCCATTGGCGCACGCTGTAGCAATAGAACCCAATCAATCAATTGCAATTGCATCGTTAGTGAAAAAAAAAAAAAAAAAAACAGTTGACATCTATTGACGCGGACTCACCCATGTGAAGCGGCGTGTTGAGCGTCTCCGGCTGCACGAAGTTGACGAATGCATCGCGCTCCGTGTCGTCCACCGACTGTATCAACGTTCTGAGCTCCTGTTCATCTCCGAAGCGCGCGCACTTGAGCACTTCCTCCGCCATGGTCGCAATAATCTTAGTGGGCTGGAGCCATTCGTCGAATAAACTACTTTCAACCAATGAAATACGATTTCCTGGATTGAGCGACTTGCAATGATTACCTTGACTCTGATTCCCTGGGTTTAATGACACATTTGCCTTTTTTAAGAGATTTGGTCATGAGGGAATAAGAAGACGATATATGTATTGTCTTGTATTTCATTTTCAAAACGAAACCTGAGTGGACAATGCTGACGGAGACGGGAGTGACAACTTTCACTGGTTCGCGCACGACGTATCGCTTTGCCATAACGTGCGATGGAGAAAAGTCGAACGCTATCGTAGCGACTTAACGATGTTAACGAAATTTCATTTAATGGACAGCTTTTCAGAAAAAGCTTAAGCCGGCGCAACTCCAATGGCTCCCGTAGCTCGAACGATTCTAGCTCAAGCGACGAATCCAGCAGTTCAAGCTCCAACAGTTCGAGTGATGAAGAGGACTCGAGTCGAGCAACAACTGGGTTCCACTTGAAAACGACGCTTTCCAGTTGGATCTCTCGGTGAAAGTTGCTCTACTTCAGTCAATCTGGACAGTGAGTTATATGTTCAAGCTTGAACCGATTTCGTTAGAGCGGATTCATGCTCTAGAGGTCAAGATTCGCGATCTTGAAGAGTTACAACTGGCGCAGAAGCGATCACCGTCAAGAAGAGACAATGAAATGGTGCATCTGGACGCAATCACAAACAATAACGCGTTGGTGAACGACGGCCAGTGGAATGTGTTCGACACAAACGGTTTTGAGCTGTCCGACAGCAAGACTGAGATACGCTGTGTAAAGACTGGATGGTATATCCTAAGTCTTGCGGTATTCTTGACACCGCAGACAACCAGTGCAATCGTCGAGTTACGAGTGGATGGGAGAAGCATTCGGCATGACCGTGCGAGCGCTGCTAACCAGCCCACTAGTGTTTCATGTGTCTGCAGCACATCCTTGAGGGCGGATGCTATGCTGCAGGTAGTCGTGTCGGAGCAGCTCCCACGGCAGCAAAGCTCATGGGGTAAATCAAGGTCGCTGCTACGGCGTCATCGGACATTTCTTCTACACATTCTTTTTCTTGCATAATCCCAACATTAACTGAATCGATTTGTTTTCGCTTGAAATCGGTGGATGATAGTCGCTTATAACGTTAGAATTTCTTCTCTCACAAAATGAAGAAAATATGGCTTGTACTTCTCGATTTTGCTCGACTACAAGTTGTTATTGCGAACTACTGTACCACGAAAGTTCACATCAGGCTACTCGAACAGCAGCTTAGACGGTGGTGGATGCTGGCGGTAGCTTCTCCTGGTGTTTGGCCTCAAATCTGGTCAACCACGCAGATAGACGCGATGTCTGCGGCGGAGCTTTTGTCATAACCTGGTCGTCAGATTTCAACTCCTTGAGATGTCGCGCTTCAAACTTCTCCAGCCACTCGATCAACTTCGCTTTTGTGTCGGTCGTTGGCCCAAGTGTACTCTCTGCATAGTCCACTAAAATGTTGACATCTTCCAACTACGTTTTGCACGTGGCTTTAAACTCCTGGAGACGAGTCTTCATCACTGAGCTGTCCGCCTGCGAAGGTGTATCTTCTTCTTGGTCAGGAATTTGCATGTCAATTTGGTCATGTGCTGCGTCTGCTGCTTGTGTCTCTGGTCTACATCTGCACAGGAACAAGCGGAAAACACAACGCAGGGCGAGGAGAATTGTGCACGATGCACTTGCCGTCGCCTTCTCCATCACGCGAAAGAAACTCAACGCAGACTGCTCGGTTGTCGGATGAACTTTCTACATGTAATTGATTGACGATTGCAAAGGTCAAATTGAAATATCTACATGTATTATTGCTTCGTGTATGTTACCACAATCTCTCTTCTCTCTATCTGCTCTGTGACCTCGACTTCGTTGAGTGAAGTCTCTTGTCCTTACCGCTAGCTTTCTCGTCCATGTCCTCGTCACCAGCTTTCTCACTGTCTGGCTGATCTTCGAATCGGCCAATGTCCGCTTCACTGAACCGATGTCGGACAGGCATGGAAGCTTTGAGCGTGGACTCCGTGCTGGACGAAACTTCAATCATCGATTTGCGGAGCTGGCTGATAGCCCGCCGAGTCGACTCGCCCACGTTGATTTGCTTGGTCAAAGCAGTGCTAGCCCCGACGACGCTGGATGACAGCGATGAAAGACACGAACTCCATCGTGAAGTGGATTGAGAAGATGTCTTGTTCTGGTTTGAGTTCCGCCAGCGCGAAGTCGAATGTTTATCTTGCTCATTCCACTCGTCAGCGAAGTCGAAATCGTCTTGGCCAGTGGTGAGGATGGAGGGGTTCTCTCGGCGCTCGTAGTACCCGAGTGGCTGTGAGAGTGTAGGTGCCATTGTTGCTCGGAGTTTGCAAAATTGGAAATGAGAGGTCATCGAAAGCATACCATGCTGCTCATAATATGCGAAACCGGAATTTGGTGCCAAAAACGGTTAAAAAAAATCAGCAGCGACAGTAACGCAGCATGATGGAACACGAACAGTCTGCGGTGCACAATACATTTGGCTGGGCGAGGCAAACGGCCGATCTAGATAATACTCAAACCGTTAGAGCTAATGACTGGAGGAAGCAACTGCATCTACTACGAGGATATTGACGCAGTACGTAGGCAGTTGCTGCAGTTTTGGCACTAGAAAGCTGTGAGCAAATCGCTGGACGGGCTGAGATCAAAGCACCATTCTAAGATCGTGCAGCGATGTCTAGGGAATCAGGATGTCTCTGAAAAACTGAGGTTGTCAGTGCATCGTCTGCTGCCCCGGTCGTCCGTTGTGAAGCACCGAAAGTCTCTCTCTCGGTGAGAGTCTCACCGATAAAGCCGCTGTAGTACATGCTTATAGGATCGTTGGGGCCATGTATGAGTCTTGGTGATGAACCAGTTGCAAAAAGTCGCTCATGCGGGGGCTGTTCGCACTTCAACTTTGGATATCTACGCCGTTACCACTGCAAATATCGAGGGACAAGCGAGAGGCCTCGCAAATAAGGCAAGCATGCCTTTGGTGTCGCAGCATTTAGCAACAATAGCAACAACACGATCTATCTATGAAACGGATGGAGGCAGACCGGAACTCGGATTGAAGTGCTCTAATGGTCATGCATCGGACACGGTAACAGGATATGGTGGCTGGAGCAAACATCGACGGAACCAACGATTTTATTCGCTTGTGGGTGACCAGCGTCAATAGACAAGGCTACAAGTGCTGGTCGGCTGGGGGCAAGGTTTTCAGCGACTTCCGCTGACAACAATCGCTGAAATTCGAGTGTAAGCCTTGTGTCGCTTTACAAGCTTTACCCTGCTTGGCCTTGCAGCGTTTCCAGTAAAGGTGGACATACTGAAATAAGAAACAGGCAGAAACCAGCTACGCAGAACTCGGAACCCCAAGATCAATGCAAGGATTCCTGTTGCTTGTGTTGCTTTGCATCGCTGGTTGTGGTGCTGCCACTCGAAGACGTGAGCTAGACTCGGCTATCACCAGCTTCCTCCATGAGCGAGCCGCTTGGAAGCCCATATGCCTCTACACTTTCGACGATCCTGCTATCACAGGCGGAGCCACTGTTATGAACCTGGTGCCCGGTGATGTTTGTCCGTTTGACGCTCTCCAGCCAGACAACGAGCTCGTGACGAGTTTGAACACAGCGTCTTCCTTCTGGCAGCTTGGAGTCCACCTGGCAGAGGATCCCAACAACGACACCAAGCGGGTACAGCTTTCTTCGATCAGCTCAGTCTCCGCACGTGACTTCTTCACAATGGCAGCCGTGAGGAACAGCACGTTAAGTGAAGGTGGCGTGACATTCGAGATGGTGATTCGGCCCCGAGCGAAGATCAACCACAGTATGACTCTGTTCTCCATCGCCAACGAGTACGACAACTGCGCGGATTCCGGGTTTCGTTTGGATGTAAACGAGCACCAAGTGTTAGCCTTTATCTACTTTCTTCCTGTATTGGAGGAAGTTGGCGAAGCAGGCGTGGAGGCCTGCTATGAGCAGCGTCTCTTTTCAGTGGACAACTCAGCAGTGTGCCAGCTCCCACCACAACTGGATCCGGTGGAACGAACTCCACCCGTTCACATCACTGTCACATTGGATCCATCGAGTACGAGAGGTCTCTGGAAAACGGATTTCTACATGAGCTACACAGACGTCGAGACAATGCAGCGAGTGGACTGTGCAGTGCACGACGAGCAGCATCCACCCAACACTCAGCTTCTCAACAACCTTATTGAAGGTCGATATCGACTGCATTTAGGCAACAGTCCTCGCAATGTTACTTTTCCTCGACAACGCAAGCATTTGGCTGCTGCACGAGATTTCCAACCACTTGGGAATACGAGCAACCTGAACGCCACAGAGCGGCTTCGTGCAGTGTTGAAGCAGAAGTTAGTGAGCATCAGTGGACCGCGGCTGCCCAAGGCTATGCGAATTTTCGGTGATAACTCGCTCTCACTACAAATTTTAGGGATCACTTTTCCACCGTTGAATGAGGATACACCTTTAGCTTACCTTCGCAGTAAGTTTGCAGACTTCAAGGAGCAGTACGGCGACCAGATTGTCGAGTACTTGGTCAACTTGGTCCAGCAACAAGCGAGAGGCCCCGTTGTAATGCAGCAGTCACAGTCAAGTGATCAAAGTAGCGATGGAAGCGGTGAGTTCTCCAGAGTGAAGCTGTTTCAAGGCGCAGATAGTGCGGCTTTCGACATCTTCCACTTCGGCATTTATCGTCGCGTGGTGTCGGAGGATCAAGTGAATTCGATTTCAAGGCGACAGTTACTACCGTCCCGGCAATTTCCATCTCTGCATCAAACCGTGCGAATTCCTGAAGACTCGTTGGTATTGCTCAATCTCACGATGTTTCATGGAGTTTTCAATGACTTGCGTCTCGAGCTGCGCGAAATACCAGAATTCGGACAGCTACTTCTGTTTCCTAGCAAAACCGTTGTGACTTCGGACAACATGGGCACCTTTCAAAAGCTTCCACTGGAACACCAGCGCAATATATTTTTCCAACCCCAGCGTGACCAGAACAACGAGAACCTTCCACTACCAAACCCAGTGGCGTTCTCTCGGAGGTTGGAACCATATGCGACGGTAAGGTTTGGCATCGCTGATAGCTTGGCTGGTCGGGTCGTTAACAAAACTGCGGAAGCTAGGATTGACATCTTCGTGGATGCTGTGAACGATGCACCACGGCCCTGTGTATATGAATTGGAAGTCCGTGTTGAAATTGGTGTTCCTGTTACTTTGGATCTGAAAGGTGATGACGTTGATGGGTCTCCTTTCGCTACAGATTCAAAATCTGGATCCACTGATTCGAATGATCTGCTGTCCAGTTTTACTTATACAGACGAGTCGACCGATATCTCAAATCTCCTGTTGCTGAAAATTGTACGATTACCTCAGTTCGGTAAACTGTACGACTGCAACACAAGTTGTGGCGTATTGGATCTGAATTCACTCGAATCAATTCGTGTCTACCGAAACGGCACAGAGATTGCAAACGCGACTCATTCCACCAAGTTGATGTACGTTTATCACGGATGGGGCCAAGACAGTCTCGAGCAAAATCGAAGCGCATCGCTTGAAGTTGATGAGCTCTGGTACCAATTGTCCGATGGGGATCCTGGTATCTTCTCTGATGTCGCCGTGGTTAAGTTCATTCTCGTTGATGAAATGAATCACAGGATTGGAGAAAACGTAGTTGTCACCATTAGACTTGAGGAAGACTCGCTACAGACATTGAATCTCCGAGCATTGGATCCGCTCGCAGCATTTTCCAATGCCAACACCGTCATCAAAGTGACAACCCTGCCACAACATGGAACGCTTTTTCAGTTCAAACACCACCAGAGCGGAGCAGTGAATTTCTCCCTTGAGAATCTTGGCGCACGCATCACAGTTTCCAACACGATCGTTGCAGATCATTGGAGTCGAATTATCTACGTGCCTCAACTCGATTACTTCAATTTGAATACCCAAGCTTTGATGGGACGAGTATCTGACGTCGATTACTTCGAGTATCATGCATCGAATACCACCCCTCCGATCAACGACTCGCTTGCGGTGTATGAAAATTCACCCACAGCACATTTCGCCAATGATCTCGAAATCCGCCGAGTCGAGTTCGACGTCGTTAACGTACCCGATGCTCTGATTGCGCTTCCGCCGTTCATTATCACAGCAAATTTGTCGGATAGTTACGCTACTCCAACACCTGTAGTGTTCGAAGACCCCGACAGCATCAGCGTTGACGACATGTATCAAGTGAATCTCGAGGCTGAAGACGGCGTATCAATGCTTGAGCTGGGATTCCCCATCACCGACGATGATGTTATGACTGGATGCCCATTTGACCGTCCGTGTACGCTTGTTCGAAGCACAAACGGAACTCATTTGAACGCCAGTTCAAATGATACTCAAGACAAGCTTTACTTCCACATCACGACCCAGTTATATGATCCTTCACACATCCAGGTGACTGGGACGAAGACTGCACTCAGTACAGCATTATCAGCACTTACGTTTCGCGGAATCTCTCTCGATTCCTCCCGCAAAACGGAGTTTATCTTCTGGGTAAAGCGTGTCAATGCTAGCAACGATACTCAACAAGCCGAAGTCACCTTTATGATTAACTCTCCCGTGGGTGATGTGAATGGTTCAACAGCTGACGAGAATTTGGTTTCGACGTTGAATTCGCAGTTTGAGCGGTATACCTCGACATTGTTGGTTTTGCTAGCAGGGTGGTTGGTATTATCGAACGCTTCATGCTTGTCAATAGGATTCTGCTGCTGCTGCTGCTGCTGCACTAAAGCCCGTAAGAAGCGACGACAGAAGTTTGAACAACAACAGCGGGTGTTCCAGGCACAAGTCGCACAAAATGACTACGAGTATTCAGTGCTGCTCATGAATCTAGCGGATTTGCTGTTGGAGCCAAACTTGCTAGTGAGTCGATGTGTGTTGGAGAGCTGTCTTCCTTTCAAAAGAAACCGGAAGCAGACAGAGATATTGGTGCTCGCGTTTATCTTGCGGAGCTTACTGCCTTTATTAGAGAGTGAGCGACAGGGAACTCGCTTCGTTTTTCAGCTCATGGCGATCGAATACTCCGAGGGAATGACCAGTATGAGATCATTGGATTTTCGGCGCCAAGAGTTTTTGACGCGGGATAGCACAGCTAGTAAGGCTCTTGCTTGCTTCAGTCGTATCGTTGGAGCCACATGGATTTCCGAGTTGCTGGTATATCGTGATGAAGCAAGTGCCTTGAGTATGCGAGACACCGTCTCTGAACTCGAAAAATTCATTGACAAGCTCGCAGCGCAAGTTGAAACGCTCCCAGTTGAAATTGTTGTTCTCTGTCGCGCGTGTGTTAAGTTGTTTCGGAGAAACGAAAGAAATCCAAGTCGTGAGATGAAGCTAGACGCGGTGCATCTCGTCTTCTTCAACCATTTTATTGGTCCAGTGCTGCTGTTTCCGGGCTATATCGTGTCTGGATCTACCCCTTCAACTGAGCAGCAGAGTACCTTGAGAGCCATTGCTTACCGGATTGTAGCATTTACTGACCAGTGGAGAAGTGCTGCCTACACCAAACCAGATGAAGTGCGATCTCGAAGCAGCAATACCGACAGTTTACTAGGAGCATTTTCATCGGAGACTCAGAGCTTAGCAGCATGCCGACATAAGTACGAGGCTGTGCTGGAAATTATATCTCAGTCGCTGATAATCGAAAGCGCATTTGATCCAAACGAGGCTAAGGCTGACGTGGACTGCGAGCTCATGGGCATGTACCTCATGAACGTCCACAGTCTGCTAGACAGCTATTTTCCCGAGTTCAAACGCAGAATGCTCCAGACTCAAACGTCGGCGGATGTTGAGCAGATACAAAGCACAATCGCCCGTGTGAATCGTCTTCTCAAGGCACTCGATTGGCCACTCGCCAGTACCCACGAATTGACCGAATACGCACGATCAGAGCTTTTAAACGACCCTGTGCTTTGGAACGGCTTCAGCTTCCAAGAATGGGAGGATCGAGCACAAACACAACAACAGCAACAGCCTTGCCAATCTGGCACCGAAAGAACCCAATCTCTGCTAGCACATCAGGTCAACGACGACGAAGAGGCGATCCTAGACGAAGATGGCAGCTCTCCACACGGCGTAGACTGGATCAACCACGTGGATGCAGTCAAGTAGCACCAGAGCTCCAGTCTGTAACCGAGTGTAACTCGAGAAACCACTAAAAGATCATCAAGCTGAAGTCTTGGGACATAAATGTGGATCAGAAAAATCCCCGTGAAAATGAAATACAACCCGCACGAGAGACAACAAAGCTTAAAAAAGACAGCGAAACGTAAATGACACCCGAGAGCTGAACAGTCTCGACAAAACCTGGGATGAATCCACTGCATCTTTAGCATGGCTGACATCGAGCATGAATCGACGGAGCCGGACTGGCCCGTAGGTCCGCTGCTGTCGGACCGCATGTCGGTGCTGTGCCTTAAGGCCGAATACGTGGGCAATGCGAACCCCAACTTCATGCACGGCATCGATTCACTAAACGCGCGCTATGAGGCGCTTCGACGCGTTCGTGGAGATGGCAACTGCTTCTTCCGGGGCTTCATCTTCGCACTATGCGAGCAGCTATTGCCGACTGGAGGTGCTGGGGGTGAGGATAGCAACGCAGCACTACGAAGTCGCATTCAGGATAAGATCCAGATGAGCAAGAGCGAACTGGTGGCTATCGGATACAGTGACGTGGCCATCGACGCATTCTGGGAGACGTTCGTGGACTACTTAGCAGCCATGGAGACACGTTCGCACGCGGAGCTAGTACAAGATTTCCAGACAGAGGGAGGAGAATCCGAGTACTTGGTCTGGTACATGCGGCTGCTCACCGCCGGGTACATGAAGAAGAACGCAGAGACCTTCCAGCCTTTCATTGACGGTCTGTATCCGGGCCAAACGGTGGCACAGTTCTGCGCTGCAGAGGTGAGATGACTGCCGATTGTTAAGGGATGAGGAAGAGAACTAACGAGTGCTGTTTGGTTAGGTGGAGCCTATGGGGAAGGAGTGCGACCAGCCCCAAATTGCAGCACTGACAGAGGCGCTCCAAGTCGGGGTCAAGATTGAGTATCTGGACGGAAGTGCCGGACCTGGGGAGGATCTGCAGAGCTACGTGTGTTCACCCACAGTGGAGGCAACCACACAGCAAGAGCCTGTGTCAATCACGCTACTGTATAGACCGGGACACTATGATATCTTGTATCCGCGCGAGTCTGAAGAGAAGGAGGCAGAATAGCCAAGAGCGCTGGCGATCTCAACACCATAGCTTTTTTTTTTGCATCTGCCTCATATTTCTCTCACTCACAGACGTCCTGCTATCTGCTGCATGCACTCATGGGACAGTGACGACTTGACTATACGTGGGCAAGCTCTCTCTCCTTGCGCCCCTATTGCTTAGGACCCCAACTCTACTTGGCCTTGTTGGCGAGTGCCACATCCTCAGCCGCAACCGAGTACGCGGCACTGCACAGCTGCGCCACGTTGGTGATGTTCTTGCACACGCAGGCGGGCAGGCACACGTAGTAGCACAGCTAAAGCGAAAACAACAAGACGAATGTGTCAGCACTATTGCAACCGACACAACGTAGAATTGGCAACGCACCTGCATGACGGGGACGTTGATGAATGGAATCAGCAGCGTGGGGTCGAAGTGAAGCACGTAGAGCAGGATGTAGAACAGCTCAGTACCCACGCAGCAGAAGCCGAAGAACGGGTAGCAGCCGTAGTAGAATCGCAGCAGGAAGTTGCGCTCGGCCGCGACCACCTTGTGGTGGCCACGACTCGAGTACATGTGGTACCAGTGGCTGGAGAAGTCGAGGATCAGCAGGTACATGAAGACTAACATGTACTGCGGGTACAAGTGGGACAGCACCACGAGCAGTCCGGCGGTCGAGCAGCGATCCGTGACCATATCCAGCACAGCGCCGAACGTCGAGCCTGTAGCAGAAATACAATACGGGTTAGAAGCGTCCTGCGTTCTCCCACAAGGCTTAAAGCGACTGTACATTGGTCGCAGAGGCGCGCGAAGAAGCCGTCGAAGTAGTCGCAAGTGAAGCTGAGCGCGTAGCACAGCACGCTGGTCTTGTAGTCCGTGAGCGCCACCGCCAAGCTGTAGAGCGACAGCACGACGCGCGTGTAGCCGATGAGGTTGGGCACGTAGAAGAACACGCCTGTCACGGTGCGTTGCTTGGGCTCAACCATAGCTGTTGTCCTTCGTGGGAGATTTTTTTTTGGGGTCAAATTTGGTGCAGGTCAAATCCTGCGCAACTCGCTTTTTGGGTCAAATTTGGATCAACCCTCGTCAAGGGTCAACCAATGGGACAGTTGCAAAATTTTTTTATAAAATGGCTTTTTGAATAAAACGTACTTTGTAGAAAAAGTGCGCATTGGTTTCGGACCACTTTTGATCTTTTTTTATTATGTTGGGCCAAGCTATGAGCAAGAACTTTTTTTTTTTTAAGGAAAAGTGCTTTATGACGTTTTCTGAAAAAAATTGAAAGAGAAAAAAACCATGGGTTCCGAAAAATGTCATCGAGCGGACGCTCGACAAATGTTGTCAAAAACACAATGCAACACCAACTAGTGTGCACCACATATATGTCACGTATGTAGCACACGATGCCTATCGTCTCGCATTATCATCGCCGCCGATGGCCGCCGCGACGCCTCTGCCGGAGCTCTTCCGCCTGTACCCGGACGCGCTGCAAGACTCGCATGCCGCCGCCTACGCGCTGTTGGTCGTGGCGCCACTGAGTGCGCTGGCATCGCGCCTGCTTCTGTACCGCGGCAAGAAGACGTCGCCCCTGCAGGTTTACATCGTGTCACTGGCCGTGCCGACACTCGCCGTGTGGCTGCCCATGGTACGAGCATCAATCACTCGAGTTCACTCAAGTTGTGTGGGTGCTAACTGGCATGCCGTTACTGATCGTTGTAGTGGTACTTGCCCGAGGAGAAGAACGTGTACAAGTTGTTGTCGGTAGGTTCATCTTTCATTCCAACTTGATGCAGTAATAACGGTAACAGCGGCTAATTAATTGTTGCTATATTTTGCGATTGCAACTATAACATTTTTTACCAGATGAGTCGTATGGAGACAATGTACCAGTGGGCGCAGAAGTATGCGTTCTTTCGGAAGCACTACCAGGCACGCACCATGTCACCCGAGGCTTGGCGCACGATCGATACAGCTTACGACGTACGTTGTCTGGCACGGATAGTTACTTGCGTCCTAGATTCCGACCAATCAAGATTAATGCTGTTTATCTGGTGATGCGGGTTAGAACATCTACAACGAGAAATCGCGCTCTCTGTACGACTTCTGGGGCCCTGGTCACGAGGAGATGTCGCTGTACGAAACGCAAGTCAATGTCGGACTCTTCTACGTCCTCTGGTTTGCCATCATGTACGTGGAGAGCAATGCGTTAATGCGTATTCAACTCGATACTCGCAGGAAATCAGAATTTTGATGAAATGTGGCTATTGCTCTTTGTCTTGCCCGAGCAGCTACGCCGTCACGACGCCCAAGGCAACTCAGGCGGCCAGTAAATTGTCTTACGTGGCGCTTGTGGCTGTACGTCAGATGAAGTGGAATACTATTGTGGTGAAATCTGACTTTGTATTTTGATACGAGTGTAGCTAATGGCCCTTGAAATCACAGTCAAGTTGACCCGCTACGACCCGGTGATTAAGGAGATGTACCCGTTCACAACACCGCGCGAGTTTCTGCTTTGGGGTCACCGTTTTTTCCCGATCCTCGTGTTCACAATGGTTTCGATCAAGAAGGTATTCTATGTAGATATGGAGAAACACCACCAACGCGTGCTCGTTCACATGCTAGAGAAGAATATGGTGAGTTTGCACTTGTTGTGCTTATGCATTGTGATATTTTTTACTACGGAGGCCTGACAGTTTTTTGCCTTGTAAGGAAACGGTTGAGGAACTGCAGAGTTTGAACCGGGAATTGTTGCCAGAACGCGAAAGCAAGGAGGAGACTAAGAAGAAGAAGTAAAGCAGTGGGCATTCTCGTAGAGTGTTGGAAGTCGGCGTTCCATTTTGATCCGTGTATACAGTTGCTGCTTATCGACACAAAACCGCAAAATATTGGTGTTGGTTGATCTTCACTTGCTGACTTGAAAGCGTGTGTTGCGATTTATCTCGATCAATGAAATAGTTATCAGAACTCGGACAAGTGGCCCTTTCAACGAAGAAACGCGCACTTACAAGCGAACTTCCGGTTGCTTCGTGCAATTCCAGGAATGTATCTACCAGATATTCCCTGCTCAATTCCTGAATGCAATGAGGTGTCACGTCATGAAGAAAGTAAGATATTAACTTGAGCCGTTGCCTTAGTATATCGACGAGTATATCGACGCGCAGTCAATGCGTGGCAACTATCCGGCGAAGACACCTAAGCTAGTAGCGGAATTCCGGATACGGGCCGTGCGAGCGAGTGGGGTGGTGGTAGCCGACCATGCCTTCATACGCGATGCCGCCGACAGCACCACCCAGAATCGGGGCCACGAGCGGGATCCAGAAGTAGTAGTGGTTGAGCGAGAACACGCGCGAGCCGAAGCCGACAGTCCACATGAGGAGGCGCGGACCCAGGTCGCGAGCGGCGTTGATGGCTAGACCCGTGTTCATACCGAAGGCCATGGCGATGGCGCTGACGAGCACACCGATGGCGGCAGGAACTGCTTGACGACCAATGGGACGGTTGTGCTGGTCCTGGAGCGCCAGGAAACCCACGACCAGGACCGCCGCCGCGAAGAACTCGGTCAAGAAGCACGTGAAGTTGCCCACGTTTGCAAGCGGGTACGTAGCGAAGATGGCGTTGGTCGAAGTACGTTCGGGGTCGACGATGTTGAGCATGGGGCGGTACAGGATGTATACGACCAGTGCGGCGATGTAGGAGGCCAGTAGCTGTACGAGGAGGTAGAACGGCACTTTCTTCCATGGCAGCATGCCGAGTGCAGCTACAGCCACTGTCACGGTGGGGTTCAAGTGGCCGCCAGAGACGCCGCCAGCCACGGTGATGCCGAGGAAATAGGCAATGCCCCACGTCAACGCCACGGTGATGAAGGTCCCGGCAGTGCCCGAGCTGAGCGTGATCTGCGCCGTTGCACCCAGTCCGAAGCTGACCATGATGAAAGTGGCGAAGAACTCGGCCATCAGTTGTCTGGCGAACAGGCTCTTGACTTGCAGCGGAACGTTAGCGGTGACGTTGTTGATGGAGCCGACGTCCGTGTCATGGGTGTCCAGGTTGACATAGGCATCACCGTTCTTGTCGTTGTAGGCGTCAGCCATGGGGAATAAGCGGGGAGCGAAGGCTGTGGCTTGGGAAAACTGTCGGGACTTCTGCGGAGGAAATTGGGGAGTGAGTGTGCGCTGGACAGGAGGCAATCGCAATTGCGATGCCAAAAGCAGCGGTACACTTGAGAGCGTCACTTATGTCGGCCAGTGGCTCTGGGTGTAGTCTCGTGGCGGTTGCATCGGCACGCAGCATGTCGAGTGCAGGCGAGCAAGGCAAGCTAGGATCGCTGGAACGCAAGGACTGAAGGCCTATCCATTGGTGGATCCCTGAAGTTGAAGTTGCCTTTTATGCGCTCGATACACTTTCTACATGTAAAGTTTGCTTTACGCCCAAACTAATAGGGCTCCAGTCTAAACACAAAGCAGGAGTCGAAGTCGGCACCAGAGTTAATGCAAGTGAAATTTTGTGTGTAGTGCCGCCAACAGCCTTATTGCGATGGTTGCTGTTGGTGGACGCTTCAAATCCGCCGAAGATGCTTATGCCGGGCAATTTGCTGCGTGTCTTGCCAAAAAAAAGAGACGAGGCACTAGGGTGTTGTGATTACATCTCGGTGGCGAAGCAAGATTTATGATCACACGTAGCTGTCTGAACATCGGCTTCAATGCATTGCCTGAAGTATGAGTCAAGGCTGATTGGTACAATAGCAGTAGGAAATCGTTCCCCGGACCTCGTGTAGGCGTAGCGCGCTTTGTGTTCCGCGTGATACGTTCATCGGCGTTGTATCTGACACCCGCAATCTTAAATCGGAATCGAGATCCATACTTTACAAGCGCATTGCCACGCAGCAATGTGGAGTCGTTTCCCATGCCTTTGTCGATTTGCCACATACAGAAATGATCAGCAGAACAACGGCCAGTGGTGGAACAGTGAGCACGCCTCGCGGACCTACGACAAAACTACAGCATAACTACTGTGCCTTCACTACGTTCCTCACGTAGTGCAGGCTCTCGGTTCCTTGCTTCGATTGCCCGAAATGCAGTGCTGCAGCTGTGGACGGCCCAGCGTCGTCAGTGACGACGGAGTCAAGGAACGATGCGGCAAGACACGCAACAAATACTCGCAAGTCAAAGGCTTACATGCACTTGGCGTAAGCTTTTATCGGGCCGATTTGCAGCTCTTCCAACAGAGCTGCTGCCGCCACAGTACATCGCTTGGCAACATAAAAGGCAACTTCAACTTCAGGGATCCACCAATGGATAGGCCTTCAGTCCTTGCGTTCCAGCGATCCTAGCTTGCCTTGCTCGCCTGCACTCGACATGCTGCGTGCCGATGCAACCGCCACGAGACTACACCCAGATCCACTGGCCGACATAAGTGACGCTCTCAAGTGTACCGCTGCTTTTGGCATCGCAATTGCGATTGCCTCCTGTCCAGCGCACACTCACTCCCCAATTTCCTCCGCAGAAGTCCCGACAGTCTTCCCAAGCCACAGCCTTCGCTCCCCGCTTATTCCCCATGGCTGACGCCTACAACGACAAGAACGGTGATGCCTATGTCAACCTGGACACCCATGACACGGACGTCGGCTCCATCAACAACGTCACCGCTAACCTTCCGCTGCAAGTCAAGAGCCTGTTCGCCAGACAACTGATGGCCGAGTTCTTCGCCACTTTCATCATGGTCAGCTTCGGACTGGGTGCAACGGCGCAGATCACGCTCAGCTCGGGCACTGCCGGGACCTTCATCACCGTGGCGTTGACGTGGGGCATTGCCTATTTCCTCGGCATCACCGTGGCTGGCGGCGTCTCTGGCGGCCACTTGAACCCCACCGTGACAGTGGCTGTAGCTGCACTCGGCATGCTGCCATGGAAGAAAGTGCCGTTCTACCTCCTCGTACAGCTACTGGCCTCCTACATCGCCGCACTGGTCGTATACATCCTGTACCGCCCCATGCTCAACATCGTCGACCCCGAACGTACTTCGACCAACGCCATCTTCGCTACGTACCCGCTTGCAAACGTGGGCAACTTCACGTGCTTCTTGACCGAGTTCTTCGCGGCGGCGGTCCTGGTCGTGGGTTTCCTGGCGCTCCAGGACCAGCACAACCGTCCCATTGGTCGTCAAGCAGTTCCTGCCGCCATCGGTGTGCTCGTCAGCGCCATCGCCATGGCCTTCGGCATGAACACGGGTCTAGCCATCAACGCCGCTCGCGACCTGGGTCCGCGCCTCCTCATGTGGACTGTCGGCTTCGGCTCGCGCGTGTTCTCGCTCAACCACTACTACTTCTGGATCCCGCTCGTGGCCCCGATTCTGGGTGGTGCTGTCGGCGGCATCGCGTATGAAGGCATGGTCGGCTACCACCACCCCACTCGCTCGCACGGCCCGTATCCGGAATTCCGCTACTAGCTTAGGTGTCTTCGCCGGATAGTTGCCACGCATTGACTGCGCGTCGATATACTCGTCGATATACTAAGGCAACGGCTCAAGTTAATATCTTACTTTCTTCATGACGTGACACCTCATTGCATTCAGGAATTGAGCAGGGAATATCCGGTTGGCTAGCCAACGCTATGGACGTGCTCAGCTGGACGCCACACACAAGACCCGCCTGACTCAGGCGGGTCAGGCCCTGAGGGCTTAAGAAGCTGCGCAGTCTGATGCTAGCAAGTTGAAGTGATATGTCCTAATATAAAATCCCATAGATCGACGCTGGACTATTTTTTTCCGGAGATCCGCATCTTGGCTTCAGTATGCTTCTCATATAAAATCCCATACATCGACGCGGGTCCCGCGTCGGTTTGTGATACGTTACTTTACGATTAGTCCACACAAATTGCTGCTACTTCACACAAACCGTTGGCTTCTATCATCGTATCCGGCATGCCGAGTGACGCGAATGCGAGCGGCTACGTGCTGGCCATCGCTGGCATCGTAGATGCACTCATCGCAGCCTACGAGGAACAGGAGCCTGTCAATATGACGCGCCTGAAAAACGACGTGGCCAAGCAGTTCCGCCTTCCATCGATGCCCAAACTCGTGGACATCATCTCAGCCGTACCCGAGGACTACAAGGAGAAGCTCCTGCCGTTCCTTAAGGCCAAACCCGTGCGCACAGCGTCTGGAATTGCTGTCGTTGTACGTGCACCTACATTTCGAGCAACAAGAGCTGGTTTTACAAAGCTTTTCCAGCTAGAACAGAGATGTCATCAGATATCTTACTCTTTTCTGCTAATTATTGTCGTCTACAGGCCGTTATGTGCAAGCCCCATCGGTGTCCACACATTGCAATGACCGGTAACATCTGCGTCTATTGTCCGGGAGGTCCCGACTCGGACTTTGAGTACTCTACGCAGTCGTACACAGGTTATGAGCCCACCAGTATGCGCGCAATCCGTGCTCGGTATGACCCTGCATTGCAGACACGACACCGCGTGGCCCAGTTAAAGAGGCTGGGCCACTCGGTGGATAAAGTGGAGTTTATCGTCATGGGAGGCACCTTCTTGTCGCTGGATGTGCGCTATCGAGACTACTTCATCCGAAGCCTGCACGATGCTCTGTCTGGACACTCGTCGACGAGTGTGGACGAAGCGGTGATGTACTCGGAGCAGAGCTCGACCAAGTGCACGGCGATTACGATCGAGACGAGACCAGACTATTGTCTCAAGCCACACTTGCACGACATGCTTCGTTACGGCTGCACGCGCATTGAGATCGGTGTCCAGAGTGTGTATGAAGACGTGGCGCGCGATACGAACCGTGGGCATACAGTAGCGGCTGTCTCACACTGTTTCCAGTTAGCCAAGGACTGCGGCTTTAAGATCGTTGCACACTTGATGCCGGATCTGCCCAACATGGGCATGGAGCGCGACCTTGCAGGATTCCGCGAGTTCTTTGAGAACCCGCGTTTCCGTAGTGATGGTATTAAGTTATACCCGACGCTTGTAATTCGTGGAACGGGGCTTTATGAGCTGTGGAAGACTGGAGCGTACAAGAACTATTCGCCTGAAGATCTGGTGGACCTGATGGCCCGATTGCTTGCCCTTGTGCCGCCGTGGACCCGCGTGTATCGCGTCCAGCGAGATATCCCCATGCCACTCGTGACGTCTGGTGTCGAGCATGGCAATTTGAGAGAACTGGCACTGGCGCGTATGCGAGATCTTGGCCTTGTGTGTAACGATGTCCGCACACGCGAGGTTGGTATCAAAGGTATTCATGACCAAAGTGTACCGGACCAAGTGGAGCTTGTACGTCGCGATTACGGGGCCAATGGTGGTTGGGAGACGTTCCTTTCGTACGAAGATCCGCAGCAGAACATTCTGATCGGGTTGCTGCGTCTTCGTCAGGCCAGTGTGGCGTCATTCCGCGACGAAATTACTCCGGGATGTTCCATTGTACGTGAACTGCACGTGTACGGGTCGTCCGTCCCGCTTCACGCACGTGACCCGACCAAGTTCCAACATCAGGGCTTCGGTACGTTGTTGATGGAAGAGGCGGAGCGCATCGCATACGAAGAGCATGGATCGCACAAACTCGTGGTTATCGCTGGTGTCGGCACTCGCAACTACTACCGCAAACTGGGTTACGAGATTGATGGACCTTACATGTCCAAATATTTATGAATGCTCAGCGACTGCAGTTAGATCGACGTTGGCGGATACTGATGAGTGTTGTGAGTGTATATTTATTTGTACGTACCTTGTCTCTTCTGGTGGTTGAAATACCGAAAGCATGCAGAGACAACGCCCAAAAGACGAAGAGAATGATGAAAACGCAGCCAAAGTGACTCCAAATGTCGTCGTTCCTCATCTTGTAGACGTCCTCGGCATATCCCTTCACGGGTACGCGTCCTACAGATAGTGGCGAGCCTATGTTATGTCCATGTACGACGAAGCTACGCAGTCGTACGTCGGGTCTTGAGGACAATTACCCAACAAAAAAATTGAGATTAAGATCGACATCGAATGCCGCTGTGGTGTATGCAGGTCCCAGTCGGTGCGGGACGAAGTCGTTGACACTCTTTGCCATTAGCGTTCGACCGGATTCGAGACCTGGCTGCAGTTTAAGCTCGGCCTGACTGGTGGATCATTGCGAATTGCTTAGAGTGATCATGATCTTCCCCCGAAGTGGCAGTTGGAGCTGTGGATGTTGGACGAGGTGAATTTAAAAGTGAGGTCTTTAGAACTTCTCTTGAAAGCTGTGAGCACGACGGGCGTGCGCACACATCGGTATTCGATCCTAATGAACAGCCCACTCTGGTAACAAAACGATGATGATATCCTTCGTTGAAGCGGGCGGCTCGGGAAATAAAAAGCATCGATAGCGCTGTCATAAGCGTGTACGTCTCGCTGGTCGGCACGAGGGTGGATGAGGTGAACGACGAATTCGATAGTTTTCTTCGCTTGTGAACCTGCCAGTAGCGAATTCAAGTGGTGACGACCACATTTCAATTTCCTGAGCCTTCCTAAATTATCTGAGCTATCGTGGCATTGACGATTGAGACGAAACAAGATATTCTCGCGTCCTAGTTACTTTAACCAGTGTGGGGATGCGAGGCAAAAATGTGCCGAGCGGCACTCATTAACATTTTAACATCTATGTAATCTCTAAGACTTGGTACTATTCTCGATCTAGTCGAGCTTTTCTTTTGCAGTCGGGATGTGGATGATGTTGGTGCCCGTGACCTTAATCAACGTCTCTGGTGACCGCAGCACGCGTACAAGTGTTTCGAAAATGCGTACTTCGTCCTTGAGATGTCCCACATAGTGCTCATGCCTGGCGATGTAGATCCCTTCCACCAGTTCCAGAACGTCCTCAGGATCCGGCAGTTCTTCATACTGAATCTGGTACAATTTCCCTCGGAAGAATCCCTTCACAGCGCTACCCACTGTCACCACGACGAAAATGTACACGGCCGTGAGTCCGTACGAACTGATACCCAGAGTCGTCAAACCTTGCACAATTCTGTCCGATACTGCAACGATACAAAACGGGTAATCAGAGGAGCAGTAGTTTGTACCGGACGAGCTCACAACAGGCTCAATAGTCCACCACGTCGATCCGTCCGAGGCGTGTTTGGTGATCGCCACTGATCGCATCTGGGTAGAACGCTGTAGTACGCCACTACTTGCCGTCAGCTGTACAACTGCGGGGAACAGGTTGTCTATCTGGATAGCAGACAACGTCGTGCTGTCATCGTCAGTCACAGTCTGCTTGATCATCGGAATCAGCGCGTTCCGGTGTTCATCCGTTATTCTGACCGAGTATTTCGTCGAGATCACCTCGTCGTCTGTCGGTCCTGGTCGAGTAAATGTGAACGAGATGGTCCAATTAAGCACCTGAGTCGACTGCAGCTGCGTCACTAGAAGATCCATACGCGGCGGTGACAATGCCCATACATCGTACGAGAACACATCGAACTCGACACACTGTACGGACGCGCTGTCCGTGTTCAAGTCCACCTTGCACGATGGGCTGTTGCTGTCGCTGTTCGAGTACAGTTGATTCATCGTCTCCTGTTCGTCCACGATGCCAAAGACGACGGTCGTCAAGGTCACGTCGTTGGCGGTTGTACTGGGGTTGATGGAGCTGAACATGGCTAAAGGACCGACCAGACAGATGAGCAGGAACAGCAACATAACACCAGCGGACGTGAGCTTCGTCATCATCGGCTGTCGCTTCTTGCCCTGGAGAATCTCTGCGTTCTCCACTCGTCCTTTCATGTCGCCTTTGACACCGAATAAATGCGCTGCCGTGTCCTCCAGTAACACCCAGTGTTGCCAACTTAGCGACGTCTTCGTGCACATGTAGTCTAGCAGCGCGCGCATCTCGAACAGGAACGGCGCCTGCATCATCAGTCCGAACAGCGTCTCGCTCGCTTGCGTCACTTTCGTCTCCTCGGTGTAGTTGTAGCGACTGCCGAGATAAGCCGGATACCCGTAGCGAATTTGTAGAGCGCCGAGCCAGAGATACACGCACTGGAACAGGTAGAACGCCACCAGTGCAGGTCGTTGCTGGAAGTAGATGTTGGTGTTGCTAGGAAGGAAATACCACACAGTCGTGTGCAGCACGAGAGTGTACGAGTACTGCAGTATCACCTTGGACTGCAGCGATGCCGTGACGTACGCCACTCGATCCCAGATGATGAAGATCAGCTCAATCAACACCAACAGCACCAGGTAACCGGACAACAGAGACGACGACGACACTCGACTGTTTGCATCAGCCACTGACGTACTGCTAGAGTCCGCCTCTCCCAGCTCCTCGTAGAAGATCACAGCGTACACGGACGAGAACAGCAGCACAGACAGCGATGCCGTGTAGAAATCCCGACCTGGTTTCTCTCCCGTGATCGCCACTTGAATGTCTTTATCCCATTGCGCTGGTGGCTTGCAAATGACAGTCTGGAAATACGCGTGAGCTTTCGGATATTTCTTCTCGAGCCACGACTGCTTTGCGCGTGCGTGGAAGCCGACTTCGGACTCGTCTGCGTCCATGTCCACTTGCTTCGAGACAAAGTTATCTCTCGCTGCATTTGGGGAATTAGGTGATATATTAGCAGCAGAAGCTTCGTACTCGAGCGATCGTCGAGACGAGGGGGAATGCGCCACATTGTCGTCGGAATTGGCAGCCAGCGCTGCCTCCGCCGCCTTCTTTTCGGCTTCCAACTTCTCCTGTTCCTTCATTTCTTGCAGAACTTGAGCTGCCACTTCGTTGACGATGTCCGAATTGTCCATACTAAGCACACTGGCGTTGGTCGGAGCTCGGTCGATCGCTGGGAAGCGTCGACTACTACGCTGAGACGTAAACGATGGACGAGCCCCTAGTTTCTTTCCGGGAGCTGGGGCGTCATAAAGGAAGGCGTCATCAATCGAGTCGTGGGACGAGGAGAACGACGTCCGCAGTCCTCGCATCACTTCGGATTTATACCGAGACGAGGCTTGGTCGATGTCGCCACTCTGTGTTTCGACCCAGAAGCCTTGGAGACGGAGTTCTCGTTGGTGCCACAAGAGGAACAACATGACATAAAAGTCCCACTGAAGACCGTCATACACCGACGTGACGTCGTCCATAGCAATTCCGTCGAACTTGTACAGTCCAAACAGCACCATTGGCTGGATAGACTTCGCGTTGGTGGCTGCAGCAGTCGCTGTCGTACAATACGGCTCAAAACTCGGGTAAAAGTAGCCACGGGTCGTCATTCCAGTGCAGAATATCGACAACTGGAACACGTAGCGCAGCGCGATAATACAGCACGTCTGTCATAAAGAACAGCGAATACTTAGTAAATGGCGGCATAAAACTCGTTAACTAACACGTACGTAAACGAGCAAGTGGGTCCAGACTGTCGGAGCCGGACGAGGGTTCTCCACAATCAAAAACCCGAACGCAGCGAGCACGTACACCATGTTCAGTAAATCCGCCTAACAAGAAAGCGACAAATTAGCGTACAATTCCAAGAAAATCAGGATAATAGCAGTAACAATTACCTGTACAGTGAAACAGATCACCAGTGCCAAGCAGCAGATACTGCCACTCTTACTGCGCACTCCGTTAATAACCAGCTGTACAATTTCAGGGATAGTAGGCTCGTTCATGTCATCCTCTTCGTATTGCGGCGTCTCCAGTTTAAATCCAGCGTTCTGGAACTTATACAACAGTCTGTACAACGGAGTATGCCACGCGAATCCGCTCTTATCGTCGAATTCTTCATCTTCCGGGTCACCGAGAGTGCTCTCATCGCCCGTCACACTACTCCATTCACTTTTGTTCTCATCGAAATTCGCGTCTTCATCGATATTTTGAGACGGTGGCGCCACATCCAGAGGGTTGGGCAGATTCCGTTCTTTCAAACACTCAACGATACTTCCATCCAGAGCTTCACGAGGCACAGCGAAGGCTAGAGCGGAGAGGAACATGTTGAACTCTTTGGACAATTCCGACTGGAATACGTACTTGACATCGCCACGGCTGCCTGCGTGGCGAACGACGACTTCAAAGCAGTAAAGCGAAGGCGACATGTCGTCGTACTGCACCTTGAAGTCGCTGAGCTTGAGGGAGATGACGTCGCGCCATTTAAACGAAGTTTTGAGTCGCTTCCTGTGCTTGCGACTGCGGTGCTTTAGCGCTCGTTCTTCGTCTTGATAGAACACCAAGTGACTCGAGTCAATGACCACGTAGCGATGCAGATACTTGGCTTTCATCCACGATACGAAGAACCCCAAGCGAGGAGCAGGGAGCTTCTCACGACGATATTTCATCCAACCGGCAGTGGTCGATCCATCCAGATTCAAAGAATACGTAGCAATGGGATCACTAGCGACACTGAACGGGCCTTCGCCCATTCGAGACACTGCACAGACCTTGAACTGATAGCTGGTTCCAGGCCGAAGACCCTCGATTCTGGCCTCACAGCGATCACCCGAGATCTCCACGATGTCTCCGAAGTCTCCAAGAAGCGTCAAGGACGGGAACTGCTGTCTTGAAATGCGGTAGTAGCGGATCTTGTGGTAGCTGTTCGATGGCTTCTCCCACGAAATCGTGGCCGAGTTTTGAGATCTCTCGACTGCGATAGGCTTGGACGGAGCCATTGGAGGTAAATTGTGGTGCAATCCTAGTGCGATATCCATCAGCTCTTCCACTTTATGCACGAGTTTCGATACAATGATCTTGAGGCGTTGAATGGCTGCGTTCTTGTCCTTCTTCATCTTATACCACTGCTCTGTTCGTCGACGATAGAAATCACGTACAATCTCTTCACGACGAACAGATGCACGGTTCTGCTCGCTCACTAAGATAGCGAACACTGTTTGATACGTTGGAGCAATGAGGATCTCGCACTGGATAGAAATCAGTACGAACAGAGCGATCAGTCCGTACGGAACTTTGTTCGCCTCCACGCCGAGAAAATTGGACACAGACATGCAGCTATCGTCGTTATCTGCTTTCGCTCCAATGAGACAATTGCTCAATGCAGAGTAGACGTAAGGAGCGTTGATGACAGTGATCATGAACAGGTGAGCCCAGTTCCACTTGCGTAAGTATTGGATCCACGGATTCGAAGGCTCACGCGCCTCATCCAGTCGATACAGCATAACTAGCGACCCCAATAAGTACGCGATCGAGACGGCTCCTCCTTGTTTGGCTCCAAATACGAAGACCAGGAGAAGCAGGAGTGGCAACCAGTTCGCTAGGAATACGAACTCCAGATAATACCACACGTACTTCCGCATAAGTAAAGTGTATGTGACTTCTCCAGATGACACAGGATAAGGAGTTTTAGTCGCGCCTTCAGCGTCTTCTTCCAATCCATTGTCGTGGGTGAGTTTGAGTAATGGTGCTGACTCGTCAACGACTGTAATCACCTCTTCTTCTTCAGTAAACCTGTCGGAATCCGGTAAGAGGTACACACTTAGCAGTGCCACGAAATCTGCCATAAGACCCCACTTATGCTGATTACTCAGCATAAGCCACTTCTCGTACGTATCCGATATCACTCGCCACGGGAAAGTTTCTTCCATCTCGACATCCATAAACGGAGGTAACCACAGTATAACCGCGTACTCTAACACGATAACCAAGGACAGTAACCACGCCAAAGCCCACCAGCGTCTGCATACTGTAGCAGGGTAAGCGTACATCATACTGTACACAATCAGAAGATAAATCATCGCAATGATGTCTTGGTGCACAAAGCACGACACTGTCAACAAGAGCATCACCACATTCACTGATGCCTTGCTAGCATATGTAGTACCAAAGCTGCGGAGGCACGAGAAGAAATCCTTATCATCTGAAGAGATCGACGACAAGTGCGCGTGGTCTTCGCGTTTAGTGTCTGCATTCCCCTCGGACTGCTGGGTTTTTCTCGAGCGAGGTGGCATGCTCTCGTCATCGTACGTGAAAGCTCGAGCTCGATCTTTGAGGTCATCGTCGTCATCGTCGACTTCGCACGAGGATGTTGGGTGGTAGGAATCCAAGTTATTCGCTGCGTACAGCGCGTACTGCTCCTCGAATCGTGCTGTTAATTCTTCCAGATCCAGTTGACGCTGTGCTGACGAGGACGAGTCGAAATACTGCGCCATCCTCTGGAACGAACACAGTAAAATGATCCAGAATTCTCCAGATAATAAATCCCACAGTTTAGATTTTCCCTCGCTTTCTTCGTAGCGTTCATCCAAGCGAATAGTGCCGACCCAGTCGCTGTCATCCCCAGGCTTAAAGAGCACTCCAGCATCGGCCTGTTCTGTGTTGAACGTACTCAATTGAATGAGGTATTTCATCAACATTGAGAGGGATGCAAGACAAAAGAGAGGGAACCACAGCTGCTTCCACGAGTCACTCAATGCTCGACCCACGATCAGTATGAGGATATATAGCAAACCAATGAAGCTGATCTGGTCCAGAGCTACCCACATCGTCACAATCACGAGCGCCGTCGCACTGAACGAGATCAATAAATGCTGCAAAGTATCCATGATAAAGCGAATGCCATCCGCTGCACGACTGCGACCAGCAGTGAATAAATCATACGGGGTCACGTCCTTCATCATGGACGAAAGCTGCCAAAAGCACAAGCCCGTCATAATCGCAGTAGGTAACAAATACAAGAACACGTCCGAGATTCCACTATTCGAAGCGTGATACTCGAGACCAAAGTCTTGTGCAGAGATAAAGGAAGACGTGAACAAATTCTTTTCCAAGTATGCAGCCACCTCCTCGAACTGATAAACGTATCGCGCAACCAGGATCAACACTTCGATCAGTAAAGCCAGAGACCACAGCAATTTAAGTCGCAAAGACGTTCTCGGAGCCGACTGAAATCCACCCAAATGGTTCCCAAAAATGATCAAAAACATCGCTAATTGCAAAGCTCCGACCATATTCGTGCTCAATGTAGTTGGACCGCTTTCGAACTGTATTGCCACGACGATAAACGCCGTGTAACAGAGCAGAACTCCACAAATTCTGAACCAATTATCCACTTCCACAGCCAATCGAGAGACGAAGAAGACGGGGTTCTGCCGGACATGTTCCTTGGTTCGCATACGTTCCTCGATCTCTTCGCTGTTGGCCACATAGATGACAAGCTGGAATACCAACTGGAAAATGATCAAAAGCTGCGCGCTAAACAGCGTCGGCCACAACGATTTCCATGTATAGAGTCCAGGATTGTAGCACTGCAGACCAATCAGCTCCATCTCGGAGCTCTCCGTACAATCGATATTCCGAATAAACACTGCAAAACACGCTCCAAGCGCATACAGCAGCAAGACGCGCCAGAACCGTCTTCTCTTTTCAAAAAACAGCATAAGCAAGGCTGCGAGAACCAGGTATCCGATCTGAAGAAACGACACGTGAGTGCTCAACGCAACAACTGCAAGTACAATCACAGCATTAGTCAGCATTAGTCAGCATCAAAATTCACAAGAAAAAAATCTTGTAGACTTCATACTTAGAATCGTGGCAAGGACCAGTGCATCCAGATGCGTGAATACAACTCGCTTGGCGTCCACGAGCCACAGACGAGCAGCAGAGCGCCATCCCTGTTGAATTTGCTGTATATCACGGATAAGTATTAGAAGTTGTACCATACCGGGCAATCCTCTGTCGATACTTACGCTACGCATCTTCGCTAGACGTACGAAGTTCGCGAAACTCGCTCTGTCAGCCACGACGTCTTCGTGGTTTTCTTCATCAACATCAGCAACCTTCGCTGTGTTGCGACGTTTTCGGGACTCACGAAGAATATCCTGATACCGCCACTGCGTTCGGATAGCCAGGAACATGAACACGAGACACAATGTGTGCGCTCCGATATCCAGAAACGGGTAGTCGAAGACTCCGAGGCCGTACGTCGTGTAGTCTTCGGGCACGAAGTCAATCGTGAGGTTGCTGGTGTACTCTGCCATCGCCATCAATGTACCGTAAGCGATCAATAACCACATGAAGAGGGACGACGATAATACTCCAAACAATGCGATCGTCACGAACGCGAGTCCCAAGAACGGAGCAGACAAATAGGACGGGTACGACACACACCACACGATCGCCGCTGCGCTACCCAACAAGAGTCCTCCATCGCGTGCAAAGGCGCGCACCACAATCGACTGTTTGCTCAGCAGTTCCTTGATATCCGCTGTGGTGGCTCGATTGCGCTGGTCCAGCAGCGACTGAGCCACTTCCGCGTCCACGGCTCCCAGATCCACCGCTGTAGGTCCGTTCTGTGAGAATCCCGACGCCAGACTCGCCGTGCCACTGGCTTCAGCATCCTTGGCTTCCGAATGCAGGTTGTGCAGCTTAGCACAACTGACAAAGAGCAGGAATAAAAATCCAGCAAAGAAGAAATACTGCCACTGTACCCCGCCCTCACGAAAGTTAGCAAAGCCAAGGTAGTTGGCGATAGTTTGAACCATATCATCATCGGCCAACTGGTCCAGATGGAAGCAGTACCATGCTACAATGGTAACCAGAGACAGCGAGAGCACAAGCTTCGTAACTCCTGGTCCGAGGAAGTAGCTAGAGAACTTGACGCCCGACCTGCGAGAGAGCAGCTCCTGTATTGTCATCCTCCGGACGAACACTGTGTATCCGATTAATCGAACGAGTAACACCACGTACAGCAATCCCGACGCAAATGCTGGTACGGATACTGACGTGAGAAAGAGAAACACGGCACTGAACAGCTCCACTGCTCGTAGCATGGACCTCCTGCGGTCCCGTTTCGGCTCTTTGCCGTTCATCAGGCGCTCTCCCATCTCGAACAGGTCGAAATGTTGCTGGGCCCGCTCCTCCTCTTCCTGTTCCTTGGATCGAGAGTTCAGTCTCTTCAAAACGTACCAGTAGTGAATGGCACTGCACACCAGCACCAGCACGTCTACTCCTATTCCCCGTAGATACTCGGTGGAGTTGTTCATGGGCCGGAACCCAAAGAGATCGGCCATGTCGGCCCCGGCGTAGCTGGCGTCTCCGTATACGCCCTTGATGGCCCCGTGGCAAACACAAGCCATGGCCGCCACGGCCAACGTCAACAGCGTGATGGACCGCGACTGGAAAGATTGCACCACGCCGTAGCAGAACACCAATAAATAATACAGCGACACGAGGCTCGCGCGCGCCCCGACAGCCACCATGAGACACGAAGCGAACAACACCTCGGCCGTCATGCGCAGCGCGGATAGCGCCCGTAGCGACAGTTTGCGGCCCGGCCGTCGCTGGCTGCTGCGGGCCGAATGCAGGCCGGACGCGTGCAAGCGTTGTGACTGCTCTCGGTGGAACGAGCCGAAGGACGGCGTAGCCACCTGGCCGTACGCTGCACCGGCATCCTGTGGTCGTGTCGGTGTGAGAAGAATACGGCCGTCGGCCCCTATGAAGGACGAGGACGGCTCGACGCCCGGCTGTGAGTGGAAGGAGGCGGTCGGCCGACGCATTGATAACGAGTGACGAAGGCGGAATGGCTCGACCTGGGCGGTGCCGTTGATTCCCAACCTTCTGGTTTTCGGTCGAGACATGCGTGCATGGAAAGGAGCGTTTCAATTGTCTGGAAGCCACCGTTTATTCGTGGAGAGCTCTGATCCTTGCTACTCCTGCTGTGTCTTCGTCTACAGCGACCGTATTGCTGCGCAGAGCTGTAGACTACAGGTGTAGTGCGCACGGTGATGTCAAGTGCTGGTTAGGCGATGCTACGCGAGAACTTGGTCGAGCTACTCATAGTGTCGGGAAACTTCAAGCTCCATGAACTGCGACCGTTGCTGGCTTCGATTTTCTCAGTGTTCGTGAAACTAACGCATCGGGGGCGAGCACTGAGTGATGAAGACGACTACATTGTGGCTGCTCAGGTGATAAAGCCGACGGACAGTCAACGATGACAAGTCTTCTTCGTACGGGTTAGCGCGGATCAAAAGCGCCATGAAGATTCCCAGTCGAACGAAGAATGATTCGAGCTCAGTCTGCGTTCGATTTAAGGTACGATCAGTTCATTTAACGTTAGGATTGTTGCTGGTTCTACTTCTACCGTTTCTGGTGGTTGATGTAGCGGAGAGCGAGTAGTGACAGCACGCGGAATATGGCCAGGAAGACGAACACGTAGCCGAAGTTGCTCCACACGTCGTCGTACTTCATGTTGAACACATCTTTAATGTAGCCCTTCACCGTTGTGTGGCCGATCGACAGCGGCGTGTTCTGCAGTGGCTGGCAAGCGAGTTCCGGTCGCACATTGATGAACGATTGAATAGATTCGTCGAACGTGGGGTCTTCTGGACAATTGCCGAATAGTATTGAAACCAAGATCGACAGTGAATATCGCTGTGGCGTGATGTGGTACAGCCACTTGTAGCCGGCCGGTATCGAACCGGCCGGAGGGTTGAAGCCGGTGAACAGCAAGAAGATGGCATTGATCAAGACCCCCACGATCGCAGCCACTTCCACACTTGGCATCGCGTAGATGAACAACTGAGCCAAGTACGTCTGCAGCAGCACGAAGAGCGATACATTGATCCAGTACAGCACAGCCGTCGTGAACGACCCGATGCCCATCAAAGGGAAGAAAACAATCGTGAAGATGAGGCCGCTGCCGAACACGTACGGGATCTCGGCCACTGTAGCTCCAACGAAATACCATAGTGCGTTGTACGTCTGCGAGTCTCGCTCGCGGTAGTAGGATGCACGTTCACGCAGTGTAAACGGCAGACACCCGACGTACGTGATGTAACCCTGGTAAAGCGCCGTCATGAAGATAATACCCACCGCCGAATTGAGACCTTGGTACGTTGTGTAGCGGCCATTCACAAGCACCAGGCCAAAGATCACGGCCAGACCAAACGCGATCAAGAACCGAGTCAAGTTGTACGAAGGTGTACGCCAGTAGATCGTCATGAACCGCCCCATCAACATGCGTAGCTGTGTCCAAGGACTAGCAGCACGTTTGTTCTTGAATATCAACTCCGGCAGGCGATCGGGTGCAGGGGTCGACACACCAGGCTGCTCCAATCCATTCAATAACGCTTGATGCTCAGCACTCTCGCGGAAATGCTTGACAAAGTCCACGTCCGCAGCAACGTCCGTCATCGGCTTCTCGCCTGCACCGGCGACGCCTGCACCGATGCACTCCAACATCCAGGTCGCCGGGTTCTGGCCCTCCGGTAAATGTGGAACTTCTTGAATCCCCTCAAAGTAGTCGATCAGGTGGCCACATTCGCGATCGTCCGGCAGCGCATTGTCCAGTTCACCGAAGAACACCATCTCGCCGCCACGTTTCAGTAGGAGGAGACTGTCGAACAAGAAGAAAACGTCAGACGAAGGCTGGTGGATCGTACACACGACGGTCCGTCCGCTATCGGCCACCTTACGCACGCCGTCCATGATAACCTTGGCCGAGTGAGCATCCAGACCACTGGTAGGTTCATCGAGGAACAGCACGCTGGGCTGTGCGGCAAGCTCCACTCCGATGGTCAGGCGCTTCATTTGTTCTTGTGATCGACCGCGGATGATCTGGTCGGCGATGGCGTGCATGTCTAGGAGATCCAGACATTCTTCGACAGACGCGAGCTTGGCTCGTTCCGACACGCTGCTGTCTTGACGCAAGAAGGCACTGAAAGTCAGCGCCTCACGGATCGTTGCCCCCTCCGAATGAACGTCTTGTTGCTCGCAGTAACCTGTGCAACGACGGATAGCTAACTCGGTGGCGGGGTATCCGTTTAGCAGGATTTCACCCTTGATGGTGCCTCCAGTCTTCCGGCCGGCGATCACATCCATGAGCGTCGTTTTACCAGCACCCGACGACCCCATCAACGCCGTCATGGTGCCGGGTAATGCATAACCACTGATACCTTTGAGCAAGTCGATGGATCCGTGTCTGTGGTGGGGCAGAGGCACGGAGTACCAGAGATCATTGAACGCCAACGCGACGGGCACAAACCTGGCTTGTTCCTCTTGAAGATCGACCACAACCATATCAGCCGAAGTCTCCCTTTGAACTGGAGAACGAGAGGCCGCCCGTGGCGTTGCAACCATGACATAACTCGCAGTTCCGTCTCGATAGCTCGGCTGTTCTTGTTCTTCTTGAACACCATCCAGCTTACTCTTCTCCTCCTCATCAAAGCTTGGCACAACCGCTACCGTCGCTGCCGGGATATCATATCGCTTGTTTTCGAGAATATAGCTGCCGACCATCACAAAGAACGCGGTGGCAAACAGGAGGTACAACACACCCGTCCACACCCACATTTTATCTGACGGCACGTCGTACAGTGACAAGGAATACTTACCCATGGTCATGCCGTACTGAGAGCAATAGTCTTCTCCGTCGTACACACAAACGTCAAACTTGGGCGACCGGTACTGATTCACTGCCACTGCGCGCAAGCACCAAGCGAGAGGGTTGATCCAGTAGATCCACACAAAGAAACTGGGGATTTGGCTCCGTGGGACGATGAAACCAGCGAAAACGACGTAGAATGTGATGGAAAACGTGGAGCACGGCTTGGCAATATTGAAATTCGGCGCCATCGCCGTCAACGTGAAGAACCAGGCACATAATGCGAGGTTGGTTAGCACCATACACAGCAGGAAGAAGAGGAAGTAGCCCACCCCCGACACGAAACCACACATCCAGTACACGAAGCAACTGAAGACAAGACACTCCAGGACTGCATACGGCACGAGAGCCGTCAGGCACGCGATGGCGAACGATGACGTGCGGTAGAAATTGGCTCGACGTTGTTTGTAGTAAATCTCTCGAGCGGCGACAAACACTGGCGTCTGTGAGGCCTGACCCATAGCCAAGAACATCGTCGTCTGATACAGGACACCCAGTGACACCTGTGCGTTGGTGGGGTCAAAGCCGAAGAAGGTGCTGCCATAGATGAGCCCCATGACCACGACCATCAACGCTCGAACACGCATGAACGCCGTGTTACGGAGCGCTAGAAGCATCTGTCGCCGCATCACGGTTAGCGTTCCGGCCCAGAATGACTGTCGAAATTCAGGCATCTTCATCAAGTGGAGCTCAGCGTCACGAAGCCTTTCATTACTCCACGGTGCATCCAATTTCTGTACGATGTTCTCGTGAAAATTCGACTGGCGGAACAAGCCCGCAAACTCGTTCGCTAGTCGAGGAGACTCCACCGAAAACGACGTATGGTTGTTAGTCTTTGCCACCTCGTACTGGTACTGCTGGTCCGTGCCCAGATCCAACAAATAGTCGGCCACATCACGGTCAGGTGGACACACGAAACCCAGACTCTCAAAGTACGGCACAGCCTGTTCCCTTGGTCCATGATACATCACTTCACCGTCGTTCAATAGCAAAATGTTGTCGAACAGCTCGAACACTTCGGGTGCAGGTTGCAACAAAGCCATCACTACCGTCTTGTGTAGCTTCTTGGCGATATCGCGCTGCGTGCACACGATGTCGTACGTGGCTGCACTGTCGAGACCCGTACTGATCTCGTCCATGAACGTCGCGTACTTCATACCAAACTCCATTTCGCCAGTCGTCACGCGGCGACGTTCGCCTCCAGACACGCCACGTTTCAACGCGTTGCCGATCACGGTGTCCCGACAATTCTGCAGTCCGAGTTGCTCTACAATGACATCGGGGTAGTTCTTGTAGAGCGCTTCTGCGGTGCGTAGTGCCGTCTCATTCTGCTCCGGTGTGCCGTGTGACAGAAGATCCCTCCCACGCTTTGAAGCCACCTCCTCTGGACAACACGCGTGCGCGAACTCGAGCGTCTCCTGAACCGTCAGTGCCGGGAAATGCTTGTCGCTCTGTAGCACATACGCCGCGAGCTGCGGTAATTTGGGAAGCAGCTCCTTCCACGTCTGTCCATTGTACGAGATGTCACCGTCCAAAGTGATGTTCTTCTCCATCGGGAACTGTCCGCTCAGTATCTTCATTAGCGACGTCTTGCCAGAACCAGGTTGACCAAGCACCAGCGTGATGGTACCCGGTTCGAACACAGCGTCAACCTGGTTAATTACATGTCGTTGTGTGACGTGTTTGGTGGCTGTGAGTTTGCGAACAATATGCTTGAGACTGTTGTAGATGGAAGGCAGTTCGGAAGTTGCAGTGCTCGATTTTTGCTCGACGACGGAGACCTCGGCGACTACGGAAAGATCCTTGCATCGCACTTCCATTTGCGGGAGTGTATGTCCCAACGCAGGCTCCAGTTGCTGTGCGACGAAGTCGTAGAACGCAGCTTCGCCCTGTTTCATCATGGCGTGACCGGATTCGAGTCCAGGCTGAAGCTTGGGCAGCGTCTGGGGCGGTATATCGATTGTGGTGCTTGGTGCGATCATAGTGGGCCAAGCGTGGAGGTGCTACAGACCATCGAAAGGAGTTCTTGGAGGTGTGTGGGCTGTGAGGTAAATTGGATAATGATCTCGTGCGGGACCATCGATCAAGCATGCACACTCATCGTCGCGCAATACCCGAGTGTGTGATTGCGAGGAGTTTCCCTGAAACTGCAGATCTTGATATAACGATTAAACCACTTACTTGGTTTCAGTATTGAGATAGATTTTTTGTATTGCATGCGATCTGTTAACTTTTAACATTTGATAATTTCCATAATTAATAATATAGAGGGATACAAGTTCGTGTCACATATTCGAGCTGTGACGGGTCGACTATGCGAATTGCAGTGACGACCATCGAGATGCAAGGTGGAGTGCTTTCCCCCCCACTCACGTTCATTACATGTACCCTGCCACTGCAAAACATACCGCGGTAGCTTACTGCGGAAGCGGACAGCAAAGGCTGGCTCGACGTCGCGGTGGTAATGCATGGAAACGGTCTCAGCAGAAAGAGTCTCGTTGATGAACACCCGGTTCATCCTATCTTTTGCGGGGATGAACAGGTCAGCCATATGTTAAACTTTTCGCTGGTGGACGGATGTGTCCCCCGAAGATCGCATGACACTGTTAACGGCCAAAACGTGAAGTTGAGCGGTTATTATATTAGCTATGATGCGTCGCTGCTCAATCTCGAGATTGATCCGAGGCAATGTGCGCTGACAGTGCACACATGTGACCTGAAGCTCTGCGTCCAGTCGTTCTACGTGCGTGCAACCTGAAGTATCTGTTTTGAAACTATGCTTACTTTCGCATCATGCGGACCGTGTGTTCTACACCAGGTGGTTCGCCACAAATTGTACATGTATGCCCGCGAAAAACGTCACTGACAGTAGCAAACAGAAAACACGATGGGCAACGCCATGAGGGCATTATCAAGGGCAAAGGATTCCACAAGAATTGGCAACGTGAGTGCATGTTACTGTAGTTGTTTCATAGGAAACTTATAACGAATGCGGCTCAGTTTTATCTAAACAGTCGTGTCCATCTCCTGCTTGGCAAAACTAGACAGCGCAGGAGCATGCAGCAACAGCGACGATGGCAGCTTCTGCGGGTTAGTCTTTGGGTCGAAGTGGTCGGTGTCGTACATGTTCAGCCACTCCTTGAGCGCGTCGCGCAGCGTCTCGATCTCGCCGTACCGCGTGACAATTCCGCGCTCCTGACAGGCGAACTCGAGCTCATCCAGAGTCAAGTCGTCCACGCCTTCCCTCAGCAGCTGCTGGTCGTCCACACTCAACTCTTCCATCCTCCTCTCGAGCCTCTTCTCCAGCTGCGACTGCATCAGCAGCTTGTTCAGCACGGCGAAGCTCGGGAACAGCGCCGAGCCCTCGGCCAACACGTGGATGTGCTTGCTCGAAAGCGCACGGAGCGCTGCTGGACCCTCAAAGAAGGGTGTGAGCTCGGCCACCTGCGTAGGATGCAGGCCACCGCCGCCGGCCTTCTTGGACAGAGCTAACATCTCCTGCAGCATGCCATCCTTGTGCTCGATCTGTAGCAGCAGCTGGGTCAGCTCCGGGTACGTCTTGGCTCTTGCCTCCACGTCCTCCTGGAAGAACTGCGTCTTCTGGTCGGGCCGCCAGAATTGCCAGGGCAGTAGCTGTTTGGGGAACTGGTAGCCGAGCAAAGGCGCCGCGTATCCCAGCAACGGCACGCAGAAGAAAGCCAGGATGGGCAGCGACTTGAGCAGATCGCGGTGCGCCTGACGGAGCAACATCATCTCTCGGCGTGTGAGGTTCGCCTGGCCATCGGATTCCTTCATACGGCGGCGCAGCGCCCACGCCTGTTTGTTTTCATTGTACAGACCCTTGGAGCCGGCTACGAACGGCTGTAGCCACTTCTGCAGCTTCTGGTAGGGCGACAGCTCCTTAGGGGCAGAGCTCAGGAGGCGGGCGGTGGATGGAGACGACAGTAGAGCAGGGTACAGTGAGTGGTGGCCACGTAAGGCGGGCGCGCGGAGAGCGGAAGTCAGCATGGCCAAAGACGCGATCCAAGGTGCCGATATCCTAGCATAACTGATCGGCGCTCGGACCAATTTATTGTGTACTCTGGATTTTGATTGGTTAATAAATAGTCCAACACAAAATAGGAGCTGCCCAATCTGGTGTGTAATACATAAGATCCCAGGGGGAGAACTCGGTTTATTATCATCATAGCAGAAGCTACCGAGCAAGCATGACGACGACGCAGGACGTGGAGATGGCGGAGCCTGAGCAGGTGCATCCGCTGCAGACCCAATTCGAGGACGCCGAGGATCTGGCGGTGGATCTGACGCCCAGTACGTCGCCTAACGCGGCCATCGAAGCCTTCCAGAGCATCATCTCCTACGGTACGACAACTCGCGATATCTTTTATTATTATTTTGTTAATATTTATCTTTCATTGCTGTGCAGCTGGAGAGGACGCGATGCTGGAGCAAGTGCAGCGTGTGAAGGAGCACTCGATCTACAAGCTGGCGCAGCTGTACATCCAGTTCGGCCGCGAGAAGGAGCTGGCGTCGCTGCTGCAGGCGCTCCGACCGTTCTTCGCCACACTGGCCCGCGCCAAGACTGGCAAGATCGGTGAGATTTACTACTTATTTTACAATGCATAGTTAAGGAGAGAAAGTTGACAGTGGCTATTGACTGGCAGTGCGCACGGTGATCGACATGGTGGCCAAGGTGAAGGTTCTGGACGCCGAGAAGGCTCTGCAGCTGCAGGCCGATCTCTGTATCGACTCGATCGAGTGGTGCAAGCAGGAGAAACATACATTCCTGCGTCAGCGCGTGGAGGCGCGTCTGGCCTCCATTTACTTCCAGCAGAACAAGTTCCAGCCTGCTCTGGACCTCATCACCGAGCTGCTACACGAGATCAAGAAGCTGGACGACAAGCAGCTGCTGGTGGAGATCCACCTCGTGGAGAGCAAGCTGCATCATGCGCTGCGTAACGTGCCCAAGGCCAAGGCTGCACTCACAGCGGCGCGTAGTATCTCCAACACCATCTACGTGGTGCCACGTACGCAGGCGCAGATCGACCAGATGTCCGGTATCCTGCATGCTGAGGAACGTGACTACAAGACTGCGTACTCGTACTTCTTTGAGGCTTTTGAGGCCCTCGCGACGCTGGATGAGGTGGAGGGACTCAAGTGTCTCAAATACATGCTGCTGGCCAAGGTCGCCAGTGGCGGCGCGAGTGAGGTTAACCTCATTATCAACAGCAAACAGGCAATTAAGTTCATTGGTGTCGACCTCGAGGCGATGCAGGCGGTGGCCAAGGCACACGAACAGCGCTCGCTCGAGCAGTTTGAGGCGGCAACGAAGAAATACGCACCTCGTACGTTGACCCGTGAAACTGTGGATAGTTCGCAGAGATCTAATGATTTTCTTATATATTTAGAGCTGGTAGAGGATCCGCTGATCAAGAACCACTTGGGGAAGCTGTACGAGCAGCTTCTGGAGAGCAACCTGATCAAGATTATTCAGCCTTTCTCGTGCGTCGAGATCGCACACGTGGCCAAGCTGATCAAACTGCCATTGCCGCAAATCGAGTTGAAGTAAGAGCGACTTGCAGTTGGATCTGCTTGCAGTGGTGAGGATAATTAATGTGTCTTTATTTTATGTAGGTTGTCGCAAATGATCCTGGACCACAAGTTCCACGGCATTTTGGACCAAGGCAAGGGACAGCTTATCGTGTACGACAGCCCCGTCGAGGATGTACGTTGCGCTGTTGTTGTTACCTTGACACACGCAATCTATGCTGACGTTTTTCTCTGTTTATTGTGTGTTATTCCAGAAAACATATACCTCTGGTCTTGGTGTCATCGAGAACGTCGGGCACATCGTAGACAACCTTTTCCGGCGCGCTGACAAGCTGCAGGCATAAACGCGGAAAGGGAGACATACTGATGCTAAGGAACGCAAACTAAAAGTTGAGACCAGCAATTCAGTGCAAACGACCTTATATTTCTTTAACGGAATCGGTGGTACGGCCCACTCACTATGGAGCTCCTCGTCTCGGGCGAGCCGTCGTCATTATCATTAGGAGTGGTTACTGCCATTTCATTGAAGGAGGCCATGCTCTTGGCGTTCTTCATGCCACTCACCACATACGTCATGTTGCCAAACTCCTTGGTCTTTTCAGCGTCTTTCCTCATCTGCCTGCGCCGACGGATGGTCACGACGACGAAGACCACAAACGTGAGGAATAAAACGATACCCAGCACGATGAAGGCAGCGTAGAGTGGTGGCCCGAACGTCACCTCGGAGGCATCTTCGCCGTTAGCTGTCGTTGCTCCCAACTGGAACGTGCAACGTGGACCTCCCCAGAACTCGTTGATACATTCACAACGGCCCGTGTCAGCGTTGCAGATGCCTGTGTGAAAAGTGTAGAGCACACTGAAAGGAATGTTACAGTCGTTGTTGTCTCGACATGGAGCACCTCCGTGCATCTCGACGAGCTTGTTATTCCCGTCAACGTAGTCTGTTTCGTGGTCGAGGATCCATTGCCGTGTCGGGTGTGACGCTGGATCGCACTCGTGCGCCATCGTGGAGCTTTTGGACGCGTCTTGGTACACACGCACGTAGTCGATCTTCATGTACAACGGGAACGAGTCGCAGATGAAGTTGGCTTCCGGGTCTTTGCCGTCACCGCGACACGGTTTGCCAGGGTTGGGCGGATACGTCCCCCATGCTGCTGATAGCGCGACGTTGAGGATAATATACGAGGGCTCCTCGGGAAAAGTGAGTCGTGGGTTGGACTTGTTTCCACCTTGCGGCGTGTTGACCACAGACTTGGCCGGTATCTCGAAGATAGGGTGACCACCGATCATCCAGCGTAAGTACCCGTTGTCGCCGGTGACCCACTCGAGCTGGTACGCGACGTAGTCGTAGTAGACGCCCATGTGGATGCCCCAGTTAGCGGACAGAGCATCCATCTGATAATTGTACGGCTCCATGGTGTTGGTCTTTGGGGTCGAGTCATTGCGTGGCGCTGAACAGCGACTGTCCTGGTTGTCTGGGTCACACAGAAACACACCCTGGTAGCCGTTCATCTCCGGAAAACACGTGCCGTTCGAGTTGATGTTCCAGTGGCCCAGCGTTCTGTCACCGTCGATATAGCCCATGTCTCCATGCACGTCGTTTGATGCTGGGCAATAGAGCAGACTGCACGTATTCGCTGTGATGTTTTCCATGCCCGCCGCTACGAGAGAATACGACTGCGTGTCGTTCCCATCCACGATACAATAGTTATTGGAGCCATACCGCAGACCCTGATACCAGCTCCGATGGCCACGCTCCTCGTAGTATTCGGTGGGTACGCCTGGTAAGTTAGCGCCAATGGTAGCACACCCCTGGCTGTACATACAGTAGCTCCAGTCACCGAGACTTTCGTTGATAGCAGCACGACGGTAATCTGAGGGCATTCCTGGGGCGATTTGGATGGATGACGAAATGGCCACACCACCGCCTTCCAGTAGATCGATCTCAACAGCACCGCGACCTTGGTTCGGGTTCAAACCGTGACCTGGATCGGAATCACACGCACTGATGCGCTGGTTGCTGGAGTTAAAGACCGTCTCGTTGCATTCGTTGTACGAGAATGGCCACATGCGGGCCGTCGACGAGGAGAACAGCGCACGACCGAGGTTACCCATTAACCAAATACCCGGCCACGTCGGGTAGTACTGTGTCTGTTCTGCACGCGCGTTGTTGCCCTTGCCAATGTCTGTATTATTGCTGTCCTCGCTCAGCACAGCGGGGAGCTTGGCACGCACCTCCAGCATGCCTCCTTGGAAGCAGAACTTGTTCCAAGTCTGCAACATACCCGATCGGTAGTACTGCTCAAAGTACAAACGTCAGTCATTGAAAATGTACCTGACTATCACAGTCTAGACGTACGAAAGTGGAGTTTTGGTATCCTGGAGGACGCAGATAATTATTCCAGACTGTAATGTTGTTGACCTCATCGATGGACTTGATCTGTAGGTAACACAGTCCTTCCTCGTCGTCGTCGCATACCACCGATGTCATATCATGTGAGTAGAGCTGCAAGGCATCGTTGGTACCGTCTGGCATCTCCAACGACGTCCACAGGTGATCAGCTCCAGCCGTGAAGTTGCGGTTCACGTCACCGAACTCGTCGCTCATGATAAGCTCCCACGTATCTCCGCGCGACGTCACATACGTCCGAACGTCCTCTGGTGTGTCGGGGTCTACCCACGGCCGAGACCCTGAACGGGTCTCGAGCTTGACGAGGCTGCGATCTGTGGCTGTGGATCCACCGGATCCGCTGGAGCTGTCACTGTTGCTCGCGTCGACTACTGCAATTGCGGCGACGCCCATCCAGAGCGAGCCGCACAGCCACAACACCATTTCGCTAGACGATCGATCTACTGATGAACTAGTGTAGACTAGCTAGAGCT